CATAGCAGATAGTTTTCCTAGGGGGTTACATCTCGAATAACATAGAAAAATTAAATAGTCAAAGGAATCGAATATTTGCCCATCGAATTTAAGTTGAATAGATTTGAACCAAGTGTTTTGGGACTAAAAGGTTTTTTTTTTCTTTAAATCAGTTAAGTTTGTTATTTGTTATTAGGGGTTTTGACTGTCCATTACAACATAGCAACTAACTCTTAGTTGGGCTTAATAATGGTTTATCAGTAAATGAATGTTAACTTAAATTCCAAAGTAGTACAGTTATAGATTTAAAAATGTATATGGCATTCATAACAGTGAAATTCATAGCGAAAGCCTTACATTATCAATTGTAATCGTTCATCACCACAAAAGACAACATTATTAGTAAAGTTTTTTGAAATAAAAGTACCATTATTTACCAAACAAGCTAAATTCTTTATTTCTATTAAGAGTTACAAACAAATTCCGATCAACAAGCATAAATACATTTCATACAGTATAAACTGCATTGTGATACACTTTGATCAGCATTAGGTTTTGGTAATTGCTGAGTAGAGTAATTTAAACTGATATGACGTTCTTAAATGATGAAATCTGATCTTAATCATATACATGCACGTAAACCGTTGAATTGTCATTAACAAAACAGTCACAGATGAAATAGTCGATTAGTGTTGAACTTCTTTAACGACAAAACTTGTCTAATTACGTTCAAATATTCTGCGTATTAAAGATTTTAAAATAGGATTTAAGCTCTTCTGATAGGTATCTAAAAGTAAGCAAGGGCGGTTTGACCGATTTATGTTTTTATCCAAATCTAATGCGCAATGATATAGTGACCCCTAGAAATATACAGCTTGAACGTTAAAATTTGAATACTCCATAATTTATCTAAAGCAAAGTGACATTTTGCAAATTTTTCGGTTCAAGATAGAACAACTTTTATTCTGCAAGATGAATTTTACAAGAGTAAAAGTATAATAGCCATGTTTTGAATTGTATTTTACAAACGTTTTGTCACAGATAATTACTACCTCTCTAGAATCACTGGCGTTTAAATTAAAACTCCTTCAGTTCATGTTTGTTGCAATCATTACGTCCGAATGATAGCTTTAATCTGATAGAATGGGTTATTAACCAAATATTCGAATGTTATATAAAACGTACCATATAGCTATTGACTGAAAATGCGCTGTAATTATGATATTTTTTGCCTCTTTATATAAGATGCTTATCAAATAAAAGATATCCTAAGTAAAATTTCGTGACCTTGGTGATCATCTCGAAAGATTATTTAACCAAAACTAATCAGTGAGTCACCATAACCCAAATCCAGCTTTTTGAGATCAAACAATCGATAATCTCACTTTTGTTCAAATGCGAACTTCAAGCGTTTTGGATTATCAATAAACGGGATATACATGAACATCGTAATATACTTTATATTTATAAGTCATACTGTCGGGTGTTATTACTAGTCCAAAGGTAATCGATTTTAAATTCTTACATAATCTGACTAATTATTCATTAAACATGTGAGAAAATTTGTTTTTTGTACCAAGCCAATAAGATATTCAATTAATTTAACGAACTATTTGCTCTTCCATAGTGATTTTTATTCATATTTTGATTTGCTCGGAACATATCTGAAAACTAGTAGATATTAGACCATATACTAAATGTCTAGATTCATTTTTGATGATGATTGACTTGTTACATTAAAAGCTTTACTCAAAGTAGATATCTTACTAAATTTATGCTGGTGTAATCATTAAAAATGTTACTTAGGTTAATTCCATATTATCTAGTCGAGGAAATCAAGACAATTATCCTTCAATTCAAAGTCTTTACTTTGTATAAGTTCTTAAAGTCAAAGGCATTGCTAAAGGATAACACTTTATTGCAGAATTTATATGATAGATAGTAAAGAATAAAAACATCGTTAAATGGTTATATATATTACTAACTTTGACAAAATAATTTAATTTGAATCCGTTCATCTATCAGACATATTTCTAATGTGTGATAAAATTACAGAAATAACTTCTATTTAAATGGATTAATTTGATAGAAAAGCTTATTTTATGTATTTAAAGCGTTTTATTTTGAATTCTGTTTTGAATATGATTTCCAAAACTTTTGATCGATAGCTGGTATAATGAGGCAGTTTCCGGTTCCCTCTGTAGATTACACTGAAACTAGACGTCTGGAAATTTGTGGATCAGGATGGTGTTTGCAGTGTCTGAGACTTACAACATGATTTGGTAGAAAATGATAGCATACCATGTACATGTTTCTGAAAGCTTTACTATTTGTGTAAAATTCATCAGAATCTTGCACACCATTGAACCCATTGATGCAATTGATTGAAATGGCTGACAATGTGTGGAGATTCGAGGATAACGGAGAAGTGGTAAATAAATGATTTGTAACAGTCTGTCACGTCTTAGAAACGGGATTTTAAAATTTTAGATCTTTAAGCATTCACAGCCCATTAAAACAAATTAGTCATAATCCTACAGTTTAATTCATTAGCACCATTTTGAGACCATATAGTTCCACCGTGAATTCATGATGAAAAGCTTGATTCACATACACATGAGATCACATGTCAGTATAAAAATATATGAGCCGTTTCATAACCTTGAACATTTTATTATTTCCAGAAACAACACCATGTAATACATTAGGCTATAATTCATGATAACTTTACTTCTTACGTACCTTTCGCCTTAGCAGCCTTATGAGCTAAGGTAAACAAAACTTCTGCCAATTATGACTTATATTGAACAGGCAGCAAGCAAAAAACGTTTGTCATATTTTTATCTTTTAGATTTGAAGAATACTTCATGTAAATCAGATTTAAACGTCAGATAACAATCAATTAGACACAAACTTTCATTTATACGAATTATTTACTTGTTCAATCACATAAGGGTTTGATCAGAAATAGATATTATATGAAACTTGAAGTAGAAATTAGGGTGCACTGCTGTATAACGGAAATGAATAGAAGTATATTACGTTGCATTTTCATCGGATTCAGTAAATTATTTATGTAAAAAAGAATATGTTCTTTGAAACTAAGAGTTTGTAAAGACCCGTTTACTGAGAACCATGTAATTTATTAAAGCACTGAGTACCAAATTTTGTTTTCTTTGTAGACAAACGTTTGCTTACAAAGTAATGTCTTGTCAATCAATCAAAATTATTTTTTGAACGTAATCAAGCCAATTTGTTATTAATTCTCATATCTGAACTTCATTAACTATCAATCCGATAAAATACTTCTCGATAACACTTAATGAGTAACTTGGGGGCACATTCTTTCCTTCAAACACGGCTTAAGTGAATCGGATAGTACGGTTGGTTCAGAAAACAAAGCGGATACAATGCAATTTTGTAACAAATGTAGAAATGCGCATCTTAGTCAAAAGTTGCCTTATTATCTGAAAGTAAAATATTAAAGCGAAATCAATTAGATTATCTGTTTATATCTCAGTCTTAGCAGCTCGGTGGGGAAAAATTCGGACTTCAGCCAAAACATATGACACAAGGACTCAATAATATGCCCTATCTTTTTTCCTAGCTTTCTAATACGTACCTTACCCTATATCTAACTAAATGTTTCGTGGCAAATGAGAGTAGACGCTCGTAAAATCTACCCGTTTAACATTTAGATGGCTTTCTATATAAGTTCAAAAAAAAACACGCCCTTATCGGCACTTTAGTATTTATCCAAAACTCCATTCTGTGCGAAGTAGAACGTGTCACAAAACTATTATCTGTATGTTAAACAATTAGTTGTTTCTACAAACTTGGTTCAAACAAGAACTTGACTTAGATCAAAGTTATCAAACATATTTGCCCACTGATATTATTTAAATCACATTGTAATCGTGACGAGGCCTCGTATTTGGATAAGAATGGAAATCAATGATATCGTTTAAACCCTGTAGACAGTATTTTGAGGTGATTGGAATAAGGTGATAAGCAATTCTGATAGAGACGTCTGCTCTTACAAGTGACCTGTACGTCTGCAATATACTGTTTATTTTGATATGAGAAAGAAACAAAATATAAAAGTGAACGACGTCTAAGTCGAAATCAAACCAGTTATGATATGTGGCAACTTTAAAGTCAGAAATAAGTGGTTCGCAAGTTATAATAGGTCTGGTTGTACTCTATCTAGTCGCAGTAGTTGATTTGATTGTACTATTCTATAAACCCCTTCACTTGACCCTTAATGAGAATGTAATGTCAATAAATCTCATATAGTTATTCAGAAAAGTTAAATCGAAGTCAAAAGGCTCGTTACCTCTCAGTGTAGACGTCTTGCATCAATATTTTCATCAGCTGCTACTCAAACTAAGTAATTAGATAACTTGATAACCTATCATTTTACAAAAAAAATGGCATAATCGATTTAAAATCTCTTCAAAATAAGTACTCTGACCGTTCATCGCTGACAGGTAAATGATAAATATTAGCCGAATTCCTGTTAAAAAGCACAGAAACCGATAAAACTACAATTTAATGACGACATTTTAGCAACGCTAAAATAACCCTAGAGTTTTCCAACACTTACCAGGGTTAAATGAAGGTTATATATTTGTGTGAGGAATTTGGATTAGGATTTTATTTTGAACGTTAGGGCGAAAAATTAGATTTAATGCTTTCACCTTAATATGGCACCAGCTATAATGCTAAAACGGTATTGAGCCAAATGAGTGAGTGAATTTTGCGTCAAATTCAAAGATCTGCTACCTTAACTTTTCATTCTTCAGTAGTATGGATAGATCTGTCGACCTACATTAAACCTTGAAGTTTGTAACACTGTGATGGTCTAATCACGTTTTGAATGCATCAACGAAGGGTGTTGATATTATGTGTTCTGGTAGAGAATATGTGATTGGTTCGTTCATAAACTATAGCCTCGCCAAAAAATCAACGAATTGAAAATTAAATTTCGATATTTTGTTCGAAAAAGCAAAACTACTCACCAAGATCTATCGTAAGGTTTACGGAGTCTCTGAAATGCAAAAGTTTATTGTCAGCCATAGTTTCTGATTGCCACCAGTTATTTGGATTTTTATCTGTCATATACTCCGGGGGATGACTTTCATCTGGGTTGCGGGCGTCACAATATTGACACCTGCTAGCCATTCCAGAATTTGACATGTGTATGCAATACTTTTGTCTTCCTCTTTCTCCACATGTGTTAGTTGCTGTCACTTTTCTGTCAGCAGCAACGCTAGTAAATGGAGGATAGCACATTTGTGGTTTCCCGTTAATATCTACGCATTCACTCGAGACCCATCTTGTATCAAATGGCTCTTGTAGGTTTGCGAGTTTCACTGAGATGAGGATGATGAAACATTTAAGTAGTAACAGGTCCATTACTAGTCGACAAGAGCGATATTTAGATTCAGAAATCACATAAGTACCTTGGAATGTGTGAGTCGTAGGTCAATATTTGTTAAGTTCAAACAAGCAATCCTGTCAATCGAAAAGCTATCAGACATTAGAGAGGAAAAGTGGTCAATTTATTTGAGCCTTAGAAACGATTCGAAAAGCCTGATATTTCTTAACACAATAGTTAAGTAGCAAATAATCTTTCAAGGTATATAGCTTTATATCGATTGGACATTGACGTTGACCGGGTTATTCTGACTGAGGACATCACTAACTGAAAACAGTTAATCAGGCACTCTCGCTGGACTACGCATTAGCCTACTATGGGATGAATCTCTTGAATTAACTGCCTAACTCAAGGGTCATATGTTACCATCCTTCTGCCTACCATCCAAATATCCATTTTCACTTAATGATCATCGACTTCTTTCTTAGTTACTTTGGTGTCATTTTGTTAAAGACGTCAGTACATCGGTTCAGTTATGGTGTCTTTTAACAAAATTTAAGGTTTACTAAGATGCACACATATTTCATAATGTTGAAACTTGCAATGTTGCTTCTCTTGTGCCATTTTAAACAACCTCTACTTTATCAACTGAATAGCTGGACGTCTACCAAGTTACAATTAGACATATTGTCAAGGCACCAGTCTACTTCTGTTTTTCATTAGTATGATACCGTTAAAGTTCTGAAAATACCAGAGTTAACCGGTCGACAATAACAATGAGAAAGGGAATAACTGTAAATGGGACCAAATCCATCTGACTAACTTCCAAGTACAAATGTGTGATGTTCCTCAAGATTACAATACAACTACCAGGTATCTAAAGATGTAGTGGCTAGCATTATGTCAGGCCCACATAGGTTATTGCAGCTCCTGGATGAACCAATCTATACTCTGTTATCAAAACACATTGCGGCCTTGTCACCTAATCGCTTATTAGCTCTGACGGTCTTTATATGGTCCTATGTATTTTAATTTCCCGTCCTATTCGTCACGTGTCTGTAATGTATTTTTATCTGAACACAAATATTGAGCCACACTTTACTCTCATTCTCCTCTCCGCGCCACTTTTATTCATTTCTCGTATTTTTCTCCGATTCGTTTCTCTGACTGTCCGTCTGCATCGATAAGTGCATGAAATTTATGCTCTGGAATTCTACTCTCGTACTTGGCTTAGTTTACTACATTATTCTCAAACTCAAACTAAGTCGACGATTGGCGTCACGTATATTTCGATAACAATCAGCATACGATTTAGCCGGGGTCATATATCCGGCTACTAATAGTAGTTATTGATGCAAAAAATACTTTTTTCTTCTCAGTGTTTTTTTTGCGCTTCACAATACAATAATAACAACAAACCTTGACGGGTTTATGGCTTCTTGGTGGACAGCAATGAGTATGTTTAATTTTATGAATGGTATTGATATTACACAAACAGAACACTATATAACAACATGTATATACAACATGTAATTTCTTTCTTCCCTTAATGTTCACAGCATCCAGCCGAATGAACTTCATATTTACTGAGAGCCGAACTTGTACAATTTACACATATTTTCCGTTCTTGTGAATACGAACTGGTTATGAGAACAATTCACGAAGTTTGGGCTAAGATGTAGAGATATGCGATGGATATAACTGCAAAATTGTGTACAGCATAACAGTCAACGCTCTGTATATTTATGAGTATCTAATTTGACATGAAATTTTGGGGCTAGCAGTGGAGCTCAGGACGCGTGTTTCATCCTATTTAGGACTCGTCAGTTAGATGTACCTGTATCTCAGAGTTGATTTTCATTCTGGGACTCAAACCCTTCCATTATCTATCTTTGCTTATAAAGCGTGTGACCTCAGGCGAAACATTGCCCATCGTTTTTTAGCCCCACAATTGAAATTGGGTACAGAACCGACATCAACACAGATTTTAAAGCGTCGTGTAGACACTTTCAAGGTTGAATCCTTTGGTTTATAGAAGCCCGGGCTATTCGCAAATCTAGACCTTCCTTTTGTGTACAGAAACGATTTGTCTTAACCTTGAATTTGCCCTAGTAATCCTTAAGTCGTTTTATGGCCTAGTGTAATGAGACACTTTCCTATTCTTTCCATACGATGTCAGTTTTTTTCCTCTCCTTTATTTTAAATTCTTAATTTGTTTGCCTGAACTTCCATTTAATTGGCTCTCATTAATGTTCATATAAGATGCCTTGACAACTATTTATGTGACCAGGTTGTTCGTAATGTATAGCGTTAACATATCAAATTCTTTAAGTCAACCCCGTCTCCTCATTGTTCTATAGAGACAAATGTAGTAGTAGATGCACTGCCTTGAAGTGAAGTGGACTTAATTGTCTGTTACAAAGAGAGATGAAACTACACATATGGAGATGTTTTGGATATTCAATGCTAGAAAACGCTTTTGTCTGCAACACACTCCTAACCCAAGATCCAAAAGTTAGTCTAATTAGAAGTAAGAAATATAGTGGTTAGATGATATTCAATGAGACAGGATGTATATGAATTCAGCAAATGCCCAATTTAGAGGAAGTGTGACAAAACAATTTCACCTAGTGTGTCCAGTTAAATTCAAAGGGTCAGAGTCGCTGTCGAAGAACTGCAGATTTACTTAGCTTGACTGTCTTCTTATGTAAACAGCTCACTCCCCCTTTGTGGGGTGACGACCACTCTTAAACGTAACCAGTAAGAAGTTGGACTTCAATTAGCGTGTCATCTGTAAACACTGTTCTGATAACTTGATATTTCAGAGGCGTCCAACCGTCATTCATTTTGTCAGGGTGTTCAGTGGTGAATACTGAAAAGAAATAGGGTAGAATGAAAATCTCGATTCATCAGTTGGCTATATTTTACAGTCATCTTGAAAAATAAAAAAAGTGAAAATGTTGATGCATCTCAAACACACTCGTACTTACGTATTCAAAACAAGCTAACAATAAAAAACCCAATATACATGAGACATCGAGAAAAACATTACACCAAAATGTTCTCTAAAACCTTTTGTAAGAAAGCACAAATTTAAGCACATTTAAAAGTCAGTTTTCTTGATTTGCATGCTTTTGAAGCATTTAAAGGTCTGAGAATGTAAATAACTACCTGCAGAACACGAAAAATGAGACCCAAACTCATGTAACGCCTATTCAGCAGTAATTGTTCACGCGTTCTGGAAACAAACGAGTCCTTCCAAAGTTCATCGTTTTAGGCTGATCATCAGGTGCCATCCACGTCGTGATGGTTAGCTGTCCAAGGTTTCATCTTTGTTGTGCGCACTGTTTCGCTCGACTGCTTAGTGGGAAAGCCAATACAGATCAGTCGAATTCTATGTAAGGGAATTTTAGCCGACCGATGTTGATGTTACCTTCTATTTCGTTCTAATCAGTAGAACAATACTAAGGTTCGCGGTGAACAATTTGATATCGTATTTCGTACGCAGCTCTGAGTTGCAGGGACAATGAATCGCGACGTACGAAAATGTATGTACTAAGTCGTAAGACATTTTGACCCTATGGTATTGTAGAAGGTCCATAACTGTGATTGTCACTGATACGTTCCTAACAACAAAGCTCAGTGGATGGGTCTGCTTTGGCCGTTTTACAATATTTGGTGGTCGGTTTTACACTTTCAGTCTGTAAATTGAAGACCCAATCTTGTAGACTGTTATTTGCATCAGTGGGAAGGATGTTTACTTTCGAGTCAGTAACTAATAGATGACGAACTCTTGTCAGAAAATCAATAATAGATAAAAGACGGTTATGTTCACAGGCTATCGGTGTCATTAGTCCGTGTCAGCAGAGAAACTTCCCGAAATGTTTGTCGTGATAGAACGATACGCGCTTTTCGAACGGGAGGTTTAGTCCTAACGTGATTTGAATTTATCAAACTTTTGCTGTGTTCTTATGCAACAAAGGTACCATTTCTGACAAAAAGGATCTATCCTGAGCTATACGTTTGGTAGATTACTTTTTTTAGTTTCACCCCACTTAATAGTTAACTGTAGTTTCGCCTCAGCTTACTATTCGGTTTTTCTTTTCAGTTTTTCACGTAAAGACTAGTTCAGTTTATCTCATCCGTTTTATCCATTTTTGTCCGTTTTCAGTGTGCTTTTTAGTGTATTTTTACGTTCTTAGACTTTTGCTATCATCTACAACACAGTTTACGTCAACACAGTCATGAAACATTCATGCAAACGACCTGGATGCCGTATTTTTGTTACATCTGGCATGTAGTGCGATAACTGAAAAGGTTGGTTCCACGAAGCGTGCACAGATCTCAAAGCAACTGCTTACAACAGACTCAGCAAGTCGGATCATAAGTGGGAATGTGTTACGTGCAGCACAGATGCTGTAGTCTTTCTGAGTAATATCATTGTTCTACTGACAGGTTTGCAGAGCAAGTTGTCGGCAAACTTAGGAAACGACACTCAAAAAATGGGTAGAAAAACAACAGAGCGCATTGAAAACGAGAACAGGGATGTCGACAGGTCTACCCACGACAGGGCATGCAACAGCATTATTGATGACACGCTGAAACTCAGCACCATGATTACGACGACGGCAATTGACTCCCTCAGCAAACTCGGGTCTCACAGCTCAAGGTCCTTGAATGCGACAGTGGTTCCCAAAAACTCTGTCGGTAATTGGATCCATGTCAAAAGAGCTAAAAAGAGCCAGGCGTCAGAGTCTAAGTTGACCATCTCAGCTGTTGAACGGAAGTCAACTGGTGATTTGGTCGATCAGTCTACCCTCAAGATTGTCCATCAGGTCAACAAAGAGCCAATGATTCATAAACGTGATTCGACCACCAAATAACAAGGTGCTAAACCTGAACGCAACGGAAAACCTGGGAAAACAATAACGGTTCGTGATGACTCTCTCATAGTCATGAACTTCAAAGACAACCCTGACTTTCCTCTCAGTTTGCAGGACAAAAATGATAGGATGCTCTAGGGAGAATTGAACAAGAAACTTGGACTTCCAAGAATAGAGCCTTTGACAGTCACACGGCTCACTTGGGCGAAAGGAATCTAAGCGTCAAAATCACTCGAGGCTACTTCGTGTAACACTTAAGAATGCTACCGACGTAGAGAATGCCTTACTAATGAGTCATATACTGAAATCAGATGGCAATGTAAGAATATTGCCTGACATACCGTATTCTGAGCGCAATCTCATCCGGAACATCTCCAGAGAAACTCGTGGGCAGTTTTTCCGCGGGAAGAATATAATCGTGCAAGGTATGCCGGAAAACACGGACCCTACCCAATCACAGACTAACATCAGGGAATGGAAATTCACCAAACAGTCCTTGAGGCTCAAAAATATACTGACCCAGCATGTAACGAGACTAGCCAAGAAGGATGGTGATTCTAGACCCCGTCTAATGAAGATAACCTTCCCATCTTCCCATATGGTGGCTGCAACTCTGGGAGCATTTCGTGCCAACAGACGTCGACTGCCACCTGGAATCCACATGCACCCGGATAGACGATAAAAAACGTGCAAAGAACAGGGCCTTCCACCTCGGCAAACCTCATATACGTGGGCTGCCGGTACATTCACGTAAGGCTCATACAGACAATCAGGAAGAAGCTCACGCGTTCCAAATTGAAAGCATAAACTGCTTATATATGAACGCCGCAAGTCTACCAAACAAATTGGATGAACTACGTGAACTTAGCAATGCTAATATGGCCCATCTGATAGGAATATATCAAACCTGGATATCTTCTCAGTTCTCGGATCATGAGTTAGCATTACCTGGGATGTCTTTGTTTCGCAATGACAGAAAATCAGGATTTGGAGGCGCAGTAGCTGTCTAAACACGTTCTTGCTTGGAGATGTATCAAGTTCATAACCTCGAGTTTAACAATCTTGAGGAATCTATATGGTGCTCTGTAAGATTGTTTGCTACCTCGAGGTGTCTAGTTGGAGTCATTTACAGAAAGCCAACTGCCGACATCGCGCACGATGGTCGTATGCTGGAAGGACTATCCCGCTCTACTCGTCTCGGTTTCACACACATCCTGATTCTAGGGGAATTCAATCTCCCTAGAGTCAACTTCGTGGAACACACGTACACTGGAGGCGACAACTCAATTGAAGCTCGGTCCATCAACCTTATCGATGACTTGGGATTGCACGTAAAGTTGAGGTCGGCAACTCGTTGGAGAAACAGTCAGACACCATGGCGCTTAGACTGTGTATTCACAAAGGAAGAATTTTTTAGCCTCTCAATCCTGGCTATCCTGGGAAAAAGAGATCATGCCGTCATAGCCTTCAGTTTTGTCACCAAAACTAAGCTAAGTTACCCCACCAATAACTTGCGTTGGAATTTTAAATGGTTGAATGTGCCAGCTCTACACGACTATCTACAACAGGTGGTGTAAGATCTGTTTTGAATGCCTCGTGTGTTTGTGAAAATCCCTCCATGTATATACTTGCACTTTGTTCCTATTGATCCCTTTATTTGTACATTGTTAGTTTTCTGATTACGTTTGGATTGTTAATATTTGTATTTTATCATAGTTTTTATTTTTATTACACCTTCCCTAAGTTTTTGTGCTTCCTCCCGAACTGTATCCATGTTGTTTTACTTGACACTTGTTCTTGGCGGCAGCCATATTGATTTGCTCCTCCTTTTGTGTTTGATCTATCCAGTCAGGATAGAATAGAGTTTATTTGTTGTGACCGGTAATTTTCCCACATCTTTTATCAACTTTAATTTATGTAGTTTAGATTTGATTGATTGAACAATTATTGGTTGAGTAGCCGGGTGGTAATATTTGTTTAAGTAACGATTTACATTTAAATTTATGATGAATTATAGAACCGCTATTTACCCGATTACTTGTTTTGATTTTGACGGGCAAGGGCGCGTGTCTGACGTACCTGGACGGCTATTCATCTATCCAAACCGTAGTTTGGATTCTACAGGTGGTTTGGGATGTTCACCCCCAACTCGATGTGGACGGTCACTGGAACTTCTTACTGCACACGCTCTTACGTGCTACAAACCATTCAGTTCCTCAAACGGTTCCCAAAAGCTGTAAGCCACCTACAATAATCAAGAACCGTACCCTTCGCCTGCTAAGCCGCAAAAGGCACTGTTGGGTGGAATACAAACGAACTAACGACGACGGAGCGTACAGGTAATATAAACATATCAGAAACATATGCACGGAGGCTATAAGAGAAGACAGGCTCCAGTACCAGACAAAGCTTATAGACAAACTTGCTTCTAATCCTAAAAGCTAATTCCGTTATGCAGCTTCTCTTCGTCAAGCCAAAACTGGAGTTTCCCAACTGCTAGGTCTTAACGGCCCGATCAACAACGACGGTGACGCCGCTAACCTTCTGGCTGAACAATACTCCAACACATTTCAACCGATTGACATTAACTTTACTGATGACAGTTTCGTCTGCAATTCCACAGGACTTTCCGACGTGAACCTAAGCGCTGACTTGGTGTCCCGGAAACTGCAGCACTTAAGATAAGACACTTCTCCTGGCCCGGACATGGGCCATTCCGCTATACTGAAGGAATCAGCCTCAATCTTGGCAACGCCACTTAGCATGATGTTCTCGCACTCACTTAGTCGAGGAAAACTACTGGATAATTGGAAGCCGGCTCACATCACACCAATTTTCAAAGGAGATCGACGCAGCGAACCTTCAAGTTACCGACCAGTGGCTCTTCTCTCCATACCCTCGAAAATCATGGAATCCCTGATGTGCGGCGGTATAAATCACTATTTACTGTCCTTAAATTTGTCCTCACCCCAACAGCATGTTTTCAGGAAGGGTTACTGTTGTATAACCAACCTGCTGACTGCGGTGGACAGATGGACAAGCATCCTTGATCACAAGGAGAAGGTTGATATTATCTACCTAGATTTCTCAAAAGCTTTTGATAAGGTTAACCATACATGTCTTATCAATAAGCTCGAAAAATTGGGTATCAGACCACCTCTAATCGATTGGCTTAGTTCATATCTGAAAAATCGACATTTTAAGGTCAGGGTTAATTTCACTTTATCTGAGGCTATGGAATATCCTAGTGGGTTCCCCCAGGGCTCAGTACTTGGACCTCTTCTCTTCTTGATCTACATAAATGATCTTCCTCAACAGGTAACGTCGGACTTATTACTTTTTGCCGACAACGTGAAACGTTGGAGAGAGATACGCAACTAAGATGATATACAGGCACTTCAGGAGGACCTGACTCGACTTCAAAGTTGGGCAGACGATAACGGACTTACCTATAACACTTCAAAGTGTAAGGTAGTCCATCTGCGACATGTCGCAGACTACAGTTATAACTTAGGTAACTCCTCTCCAGTAGTATCCCAAGTCGAAAAAGATTTAGGAGTCTTGGTGCCCTAAGATTTAAAGTCTTATGCTAACTGTGACAAAAATGCCTTCCGAGCAAACCTTGCACTGGTAACATTGGCGGAAGAACTTTCCATATAATCTTCAATAGTTTCATCCGTCCCCATTTAAAGTACGGAAACATAGTATTCCCCCCTCACTTCAAAAGGATAAGGACACCCTGATGCGTATCCAACGGCGAGTCACGAAATTAGTTCGAGGACTCAAATTTAAACCTTACGAAGAGCGCCTCCATTCACTTAACCTTTGCCCATTAAAGTATAGACGTCTTAGGGGTGACCTTCTGATGGCACATAGTATCCTTAACACTTCTGGACATCCTCTCAAACACCAACTTAAGCTTAGTTCCAACACTAACCTAAGTGGTAACACCCGAATACTGGAGACACAACATAGCAGAACGGACTGTAGACACAACTTCTACTCCTTAAGAGTTGTCAAATGCTGGAATTTGCTGCCAGCTGAGCTAGTCCAAGCGACTTCCCAGGAGTCCTTCAACAGGCAACTGGATCTATTCTTAAGGACTAAGGATAGTATCGCACTATGATTTACTAGTTTTTTTCCTATTTTATTGTTAATATACCTAGGTTCCTGCCTAGAGGATTTGGTGATCTCCTGATACTAGACACGGAAGCCTGTTAGTCGAAAGCTTCTTCTTTTCCGTCCACAACCATTTGAACCATTTGAATGTTAAACGTACGGCGGAAATTCAAGTTGGTTGCTATGGCATCTGTCTGGTTAAAACATCTTTTAATAAGGACGTTACAAAATGTCTAGACTCTAATTGTAGCTATTTTGTAAGGGAATATTCTGATAGCTTATTCGAGTGGTTACGTTATGAGGGCCAAATTTTTTTTGATGGGCCCACTATAAATGTAGTACTTTGAAAAGGGTTCTCAACAATCCTAGTTCAGTATATTGGTTGTTTCCATAACCTTTTGTGAGTCTGTTGCGTTTACTAGTGTTCGGAGGAAGAAAATTTTCGACAATCTAATCGTATATTTTATTCAAGCTTTGAAATGTTGAGGAATCAGAAAGACCTTCTATCTCCTTTCACATCTTAAGACTATCTGGATATGAAATTGTTTGAGAATCTAAGGTACATCATGGGTAGTGGAAGGATGGAGCCTCATGATACTCCTCTTGACAGCCGGAAAAAATGAGATGAACTCTCATGACTTGTAATCTGGTGTGTATCAAGTAAAATGTTCTTGACATACATTCATTCATCCAACTTATGATAAGTTATGCAAAGCTTCTAAAAGACGTATGAGTCTTTAACACTACTTACTTTGCAATTAGCTATATTTTGAGAAACCGTCCATTACGACTCCTAAATTCTTATAATCAATAATCTTGGATAAAGGTATTTCGTTTTAGGAGTACCATACTACATATCATTTACTACTAATGACGACAGAGTTTTCTACTCAACCAGAGCATTCAAGTTTCCCTGTAACTTTATCTTACTTTTGCTGTTATTTATGCCCTACTAAAAACATAATATCATCACCAAACTATAGGGTGGATGATTTCGTAAACCAGATTCATAAAACAAATATAAATTAGAAAACTCAGCCATAAGTGGTGTAGCCGAACAAAGCGAATTCCACAAACCACCTCCTAATGCATTTTCCATAGTTATGACGATCAAGTTAGTGTAGAACTACTTGAAGGCTTTGATTTTATTGAGCACAATCGGGATAGTTAAATTTTAGGTACAGCTAATACGGGTTGGCTTGGCGTTACTGTCATACCACTTGCTGCTCCAAGTATGTTAGGACATACGATTACAAATTTAAACAGCGATGCTTAAAGCATGTTGCTAGCAAACTGCCTGATAAATCAAAATGTGTTTACAGTTAAACACATGAAAAATTATTCACCTAAATTTTAAAGATAAAGTCGCACGTATATTTGAAACATAGTTCGAGTGTGATTAAATCATTAATTGACAAGTGCAAGGTAGGTAAGTTAATGCAACTAATGATCTTATGTAGCTCTAACTAGTAAATTAGGTTGATACTGTATTATGCATACGAAATAACCGTATATCAAGATGCGTTGAACTGAGGAAAATTGAGTCACCAGAATCTAACATGACATCAGTTTGCAGATTTGTTTATTGCTACTATGAACTCCGCGAAGTAGGAACTCGTTTTGTAAAAATCCACTGGCTAGGAATTCTAGATGATATAGCTCGCAATCGATAACAATGACTCAGATTATATTGGATCTTTCAAGTCTTAAAGTTTGCACATCTCGTCACATAAATTCCCATAGCATAATTACAAACTCAAAGCATTCTCGCTATATTATTTGAGGCATTAGCGGTGAGACATCTTTCATATAATTTCTTGAACACTCATAGTGTAGGAAAGTATTCTTTTTAACAAAATAAATCAATTCACGATCACTTTAAGTCGTATGGATTTTTATCAGATGCAAAGTAAACATATGTATCTTGCTAGTTAATATGACAGATATAAGTTTATAAAAAACAGATGTACTGTATCGTTAATTTACAACTTAATTTTACCCTCTTCCATAATTAGGACGTCGAATTTCGCATGTATTTTATTCAAAACCAGTAGTTGAAAATTGGCTAAGTATCAATCAAACTGTCTGTTTCCCTCTCTCTTTTTTTGAATTCTACAAAGCATTTTCATCCGATGCTTTGAAATCAAGTCATTGGTCGAATTTGCTTGTTAATTATTCATAATCTCACACTTATTTCGTCTTATTGAAACAAAACTTTGATTTTAGTAACAAAACATCATAACTGACTAGTCCTTTTTGTCATTAAAGGAGAAGAATGACAAAGAGAGTATTTAAAACCATACTTTTGTAGGTGACATTTTTATTAAAGATAATATCAATAAAAGTAGATATGTATTGAAAATAACTTCATAAATCATGAATCAAAGTTTATTAGAGAAATTTGTACATAACTATGAGTTAAAATTAAAAGAGGTATATAGGTGAGTTGGATTACTTTTCGGAAAAGTAACATACCTTATATTTCAGAAACTGTGATACATATCGCCTTACTGAGTATAATGCAGCAGTCAAAATCCAAGCATGGTTTCGTGGTATTCGAATACGGTGCTACTTAAAGTTGGTTAAATATATGTTACTATGTTTTGGACAAGTGATGTCATAACATCATTAGTCAGTCTACATTTTATTGTATTGCTTTTACTTAAAATCCATGTTAAGGTTTCAGGAAAATAAAAACACTTGTCAACTTTTAGAATAGATGAGTTTTGTCTTTCAGGGGAATCAAAAATAAGGCTTTTGCTCTGTTTGGGTCTCGTCAGCTAGATGCAGTCGCATCCCAGTGTTGATGGTTACGATAAAACTCAAACCCAGTAACTTTCACTCGAAACGCCTACACAATGGTGACCAATCAAGATCGATACAAACGTTTCCAACTGCTATGGTACTTCTGATGTTATTGGAATCGGTTTGAATTATGCTCAGAACTGGGTTATGATTAGTCTTAGCATAATTGTGCCTTCAGTAGGTTATCTTCATATGGCTACTTTGTCACAAGTTTTCAGAATTGATAGATTATGGTTTACAGCAGAATCCAGAAGTCACATTTCATCCTATCACAATTAGGATTGACCGAAATTCAGTTTTGAATATTAACGAAGGGACAATTCAAATACTTTTAAATAATTTCAGTTTTCAGTAATAAGGATAGTAGGTTGATGAAGCTGTGTTAATCCTGACACATTGCTTTCCAGTGAAGGTCCAGCTTTTCCTTGAAAGTATTCACTGATGAGCGTTATACGACTTGTTCGGGTAAGGCGTTCCAATGATTGACTACTCGATGAGAAAAACGGGATCCCACTTTAAGTTTATTAAATCGTGGTTTATGAACCTTCTTGCTATGACCTCGGAGATTATTAGTGCTGGAGGGAGCAAAAAGATAAGACATATTAACACCCAAATCATAATTAAAGATACGAAATGCCAGTATAAGGTCACCTCGTGTGCTACGATACGACAAGGGGAAAATATTTAGGCGTTTTAAAAGCTCATCCTAAGGGAGTCTAGAAAGACCCTTCACTAATTTCGTTCCCACACGCTGGACACGCTCAAGTGAGTTAGTATCCTTTACCAGACGCGAGCTAGCTGCTTGGATACAGTACTCTAAATGTGGTCTAACATATCTGGGATATAAAATTCTAAACATTTCCTCGTCAAAAGATTTGAACGCTCGGCGAAGTGACCATAACGCACGAAAACCTTTGACAGCGGCCGCTTTGCAATGCGTAGTTGTTTTTAAATCATGACTTAATATTACTCCTAAGTCTTTATGCTCTTGAACGCATGGAAGAGGTTTACCCTCAATAGCGTAACGGTAACTATTACCGTGACCGATGTGCATTAGTACACTCATCCTAGAATTGATTTCTAAGCCCCACTCTCGAGCCCATCTAACTAAATCGTCTAAGTCAGCTTAAAGATCCACATGATCAGCCGCACTTTTTATTGTTCTCCAGATTTTTACATCATCCGCAAACAATAATGTCGACGACCTAATTAACAGCGGTAAATCATTAACGTAGAGAAGGAAGAGCAGAGGGCCTAAGATGGTGCCTTGGGGTACACCACTTTTGACCGGCTTCCAATCGGATAGCGTTCCGTTGACCCTAACTCTCTGTCTGCGGTCACATAAGAAATTTTCTATCCACTCATGTACAGTACCTATTATTCCGAAGCTCGTGAGCTTCTGCATAAGACCTACATGTGAAACCTTGTCAAACGCTTTGCTAAAATTTATGAATATCACGTCGACAGACAAACCGTTATCTAGGGCTGCTGTCCAATCCTCCCTCGCAATAAGCAAGTTAGTCAAGCATGAACGCTTGTTACGAAATCCGTGTTGCTCAGGAGCTAACAGATTGTGTAAATCTATGTCGCTTAGCAACCTAACCCGAATTATCTTTTCGAGTAACTTAACGACTATGCTAGTTAGACTGACAGGCCGGTAGTTAGATACTATCTGTCGCTGACCGTCCTTAAATATAGGACTAACTATAGCGTCCTTCCAATCTCTAGGGAGTTGAGCGAGTGAAAGGGACATCTTGAAGAGTGTCGCAGGCGGTTTTGAAATAATGTCCGCAAGAGATGACAGCAACCGTGGATGTAACCCGTCAGGGCCCGGTATCTTACCAGGTTTGAGGTTAGTTATCAGCGGAAGGACAGTTTCCTCAGTCACCTGTACAGATTCAGTGGTTGGTATCTCGGTGTGAGTGGGACAAGTATTTGTTACAATAAACGTAGAGAAGACTTCGCTAAAGTAGTCTGAAAAAGTCTCAGCTTTTGCTCGATCTGATTCAGCTAGTAATTCTGAATTTTCGTGTAACAGTAACGGGGGAATACCATCACTACGTTTCATTTGCCGTTTAACATACGAAAACAATCGTTTCGGACAAGTACGGCTATCATATACTAACTGTCGTTCGTAAGTGGTACGGGATTTGGCTCAGAATCGATCACAATGGCGTCGGTGTATACACTCGGTTTCTTCCCTTAAACTAAGAGATTAAAAGCGCTTCATATCTTTCTTTCTACTAACCAATTCTTTCTTCTTGTACTATATCTCTATATGCAATCTTTCTCTTATATATTACCACCTTTTACCTAACCACTGTTATGAATCCGGTGTTCATCTTGTTGTGCTGATGCGGTATGGCAACCTGGACCGATGCACATAAGTGCATGGTTCTACGTTGTAGCTGACTGACTGACTGACGGGATTTGGCTATGGTTTTCTTACAGATATTACGGAATTTTCGGTACTCACGCTTAAATGGTGCATGACCTGTCAACAAGAATAAGTCCCAAAAATGTTTCCTACGCTTTAACAGCTTCCGGGTTTCCTTATTAATCCATGGAGGGCAATGTGATAGCTTACGTGCTGACCATGGGATAAACGGCGACGTTACGGACTCGAATGTAGCCTTAAACTTATTCCATTCATCTTCGATCAATCCATCCGCGTCGACCGACCAATCAGTCGAGATAGCACAGTTTCTGATTTCCGGAATATTAGCTCACCAGATATTGGGACGAGGTGGAGCAGATACGAATTGTATACCATGTGTCCTAAACTTAAAGTGAATCACAACATGATCACTGTTCACTAGTGGATATCAAGGACATCCTCAGAGTGGTGGGTTAGGGCGAGGTCCAGCAATGACGGAACATGTTGCAAATCAATATGTGTCGGTTTTGTGATACATTGTACAAGGGCACACTGAATAACGGTAGATAAAAGGTCGCTATCGAAACCACTACCTGTAGCTGTAAGCTCTATCCAGTTGATATGCGGTGCGTTGAAGTCCCCAATGATTAGACAACATTCTGCCATACTCCAAGAACAGATGTGTCTTAGGATAAAGTCGTCAGCAAGACAAGACGGACTACGGTATATTCCCCCTATAGTCACTAACCCATTTCTAGATTTAATCTTACAACATGCAACCTCACATGTGCCACTGATATGAGCCTCCGATATGGTTGATTGTATAAGAAAGTGATCCCTAACGTATAATATTACACCTCCCCCTTTGCGACTTGAAACTCTATCACTTCTGATACAGATATAACCAGCAATGAAAGGAGGACAGTCTATATCAACGGTGAACCAAGTTTCTGTAACAACGATTATATCGGGACATAATTCTTCCACCATCAGACTTAGCTCGGACGTTTTATTTCTAATACTACGAGCGTTCGTGTAGCACACGCTTAAGTTGTTTTGGCAATCAATCTTTCTACCCATACAGGCCTCGGAAGCATTGGCTTCCAAGACCTGACTACCCGAAAACCCTTAATGGTAAGGTTATTTTCGCCATTTAATTTGCGAGTCCTCAACTCCGTAAGAGCATTCTTCCACTTGATTCGATCCTCAAGTGGCCAATCTGGTCGAATACGGATATTTGAGGCACGAGTTTTTAGTGCGCTTTTCAATAATATGTCTCTTTCATCAAAACTCCCGAGAACCAGCTTCAGGATTCTTCTTGGTTGGGTCTCGCCTCCAACCCATTTACCAAGTCGTATTACTTTTGTAATACGTACTCCTGAAACCTCTTCAGGTAGTAAATTCCTTACCACAGACTCCACTAACTGCAGGTCATGTGCATGTCTTCTAGCAGGGTCGTTGTCTTTCGACTCCTCTAGATTCCAAATAATTAAACTAGGGAGAGGTTTAGCTTCTTTTGAAACTGTGTTCACAGCTTTCGACCGTGAAGTTAGATCCTGTATTTTAACTCCTGGTATCTTACAATTAGTTTTTATTGTAAGTGAGTCTTGTGAGTCGAGCGAGTGACTCACAATGTTAGACGAAGCTTTACTATGGGACTTTGGCGGAGTGGTCTGAGAGTCCACCAAGGACTTATCAAGTAAACAGTCATTAGTTTTAGCTATCTTTTCTACTCTTCTGCGTTTTCGCGTCATCCATTTTCCATCAGTCGAAACGTCTACATTAGAACAACTCGGGACCGTAATTGTTTTATTTGGGTCACCGGTTGCTGCTGTAGCAATATGGCCACCAACGTCTAATGACGTGTCACTCACTGAACGTTTCAGGGGAGAACGTTTAACTGCGGGTTGCACAGATGTCTGGCTTGCGCCGTGATAGCACTTACGAAACTAACGCAATCTTCGCCATCAGTACCAATGTTATCAGTACAGCCCTCATCAACCTTCTTATTAGCCAACACCAGGAGACTAATTGCTTCCTGGATAAGCAATGTTTTGCTTGAGCAACAAAAACTACAAAGCCAATGAGAGTTGGGCTTTGAACACCTTTTATTTGCAGTGGGGCTTAGTCGGGTGCACATCTTATGGAACCACTTATTACACTCATCACATTGCATCCCTTCCTCCACGAGAAATAAGCAGTATGGTTGTCCACATTTATGGGTAGACCTAGTCATCGAGAAAATCAACTAGAACGGTGACAAAAAGCAGGATATGTCCTCCTAGCCCGTTTGCTTGAGTCCAGAACACCAACACCAGCTTCCACCATTCGAATCGAATCATTTATTTCAGACATATTGAGTTTATATATCAACCAAACAGACCGCAACGTACCATAAAATATGAAATAAAATTTGTACACAACAAAGCCAAAAAGTGGTTGTGAATGTGGGAGGCTGTAGTCAATAAACTTAACATAGCTTAAGAACAGTAAATCGTACAATAATAAATTATAGGTCAAAATAAAGCTTATAATAAGAGGGATATAAATATACATAATCTAATTATTGAATAGTTGTACCATAAAAATGTATAGATAATATTAGTCAATTAATATGTCTCAGTAATTACTCGTGATTTAATCTTCGCTCGAATATAACACTTAGTATTGAACAATTTATGACTACAATTAAGAGAATCCTTTGTCATTTTGAAATTTCAATAGAAATGTCCTTGTGTAGTGGTTCGCATCTAGACAGAAGGTACTTTGTGTACTAGGGAAGCAAGCAAATTACAGTGAGTGACGAGAGTTGGGAAAGAAGGGCGAAAGAAAAGGGTGATATGACGACCCAGCTAGCGCACACAATGCACTTTCATCTAATAACAGATGCAATTGATAGTCGTCAGAGGTAATACAAGCCTCATGTAATGACAATCTTGGAATCCGAGCGAGAAGCAGATAGTTCAACTTGCGACACCTGAGTTTTAATCTGAAATAATAAAACAGCTATCACGATAATATCACCCATTGAATGTTGGATTTAGCTTTCATATAAGTTATTGACAACAGATGTCGTCTATTTATGACACTAAATAGTTTTAGTTTCAACACAAGCCAGTCCTTTTCTCAGTCATGGACAACTTTAACAGACTGCATTTTTTATGCAAAGGTACTTTATGGTGTAGAGATGTATCAAGCGAGCCGACTGACTTTGTAAATCTGGTTTAAAACTAAACCAGTAATTACGGATCAATGAGTTTATAACTCACAGTCTAAATAGATGACTCAAAGTCATGGATAATACAAGGTATGTACTTTTAAGAAGTACTGAGCTAGAGAAAAGGATTTTTAGTGCTACTCAATTTTTGTATGTCTTTGCTTGATTTCAAATCGTAAAAAGAACCCCCTTCAAACGATACAAGATCTGTACAAAACACTTAGGGATTTTCAGAGGCTACATTGTGAAATCATGAACTGTCAAACAAACCAAGATGAAATAGCAAGCAACCTGTGACACGGGATGACGAGTCAGGTTTTTGGTGTATCATATTATCTCTACTGTTCACATTATTGATGTGTCAATGAGAATAAACAGATTTCCTTGTGTATCTATTTGGGGCCTGTGAGATCCGATAGTAAGACAGCAGAGCAAATGCCTTGATCTAGTCTGAGTATTGATTAGTTCGTCTATACTTTCTATCCCGTACCAATGATCTTCCAGTAATCAATGATACGTTAAATGTGAGGTAACACCCGATTGTAACAATAAATAATAATTAGTCCGGAGTGCAGCTTCCTGCGCTTGCTCACTCTCTAGCTGAATAGAGAACAACTCACCAAGTAGATATTGTCTATGATAGAACCATTTTAACTTAGTAAATATCAATAGAGGAGTCCCACAACAGGACGAAACGACGGTTCAGTGATTCCAAGTTTTCCATAGTGGTCTAGAATTAGTTTATCAGAATACTTTCACTTATTATTAGATGTTTAAAAGAATATCTTTCTTTTTAAACTTCCTTTTATTTATAGACTTATCGAAAAATGTACAATCATCATTCAAAAAACTTGGAGAGGCTATGTAGGCCGTAAACAATATCGACTTATATTATCTAAAACTGTTATAGAATATCGACGAAATAAATTTAGTAAGGCTGCAGCAAAAGTAATCCAGTTCATTCTGTTAAGATCAATAATTTATCTGTTTATTTTTATTCTATGATAGATTCAAAGTGCATGGAAAGGTTATTTAACCCGTAAATATATATTCAACTTTTATTCACGTAAAGTTTATCTATCTGCACTAGTTGATGTAGGAGAATTTGTCAAGTAAGAATTTTGATCATTACCGAATATTTTACTTGAGAATTAAATGTGGAGAAGATTTGTAGCTCAGGTGGATGATTTTGGTGGAGTTTTGTTCTCTGAGCTGGATGGTTTGGTCGTGTTGGTAGAACATGCTGGCGAAGACACTCATGGAGAAAATGTAGTTGTTCTCGAGTGGAAGCCTGCCTTTTGGCGAAATTCTCCCATTTTCGAACAACGAGAAGCGTATTACGCTCATATGATTTTGAGATGGTGGAGAAGATTTGTAGCTCAGGTGGATGATGACCAAACCATCCAGCTCAGAGAACAAAACTCCACCAAAAAGAGAATTAAATGTATTCATGATACCTGAAGTCTGTGCTGATGATGTCGTTCAAAAGAACGATGAAAGTTCCACGACCAAACCATCCAGCTCAGAGGAAGAAAAATCATCCGAAAAAACTAAATGTATGCAAATATTTCGTATCACGAACTGAACTCCATCCAACAACCACTGAAATAATAAAATATTGATTACTAACTTAATGATTTAAATGTAGCACATTCATCATGATACCCCAATTATCATGGACTAATCGCTAGTGATGTGAATTTCAGAAGAGTCTAATAGTATGGCAAAACCATCATCTAGTACTCCTTGATTTAAATGGTTGTCTAATTAGAGTCAGGTCATGATATTAGTAGTTTTTAAGTAATTAATTATCGATAATGCTCATCAAATATTTCAAATACTAAACTAGGAATCAATTGTCTGAATATGAAAAAGAAATGAAATATGTGAAATGTAAAGAAAAGCAAGAAAAAGAACGAGACAGAATAATTAATTGGGCAAAATCACATCATTTTCTGGTTTCAACATGTTGTCAACCAGGAATATATCAAAATCCAATGGATAAAACGTAAGTCAATCATGATATGCTATGATATTACTTTTGCTTTATAAGTAGCATGGTTATATTCAATGAATGAAAATAAGTTCGTGTTTAAACTATGAAGATGCAGCAATTTCCACAAAACCCTATACTGATGATAATCATATATTCGTTAATGACTCATTTCAAAATGCAACTCCTGAAGTTCTCCTGAGAAGCCGTGACCGGTAAAGTTCAACTATATTGAATGTGAGACAGTTATTTACCCTAGGCAATGGATAAGGGTTTAGTGATTTCGTGAATTCATTAAATTTAGACATTAACAGACGGCCTAGTCGTCTATAGACCAAGAGTTCGAGCGCGAGATGAAAGGTTTTGAGTTCGATCCACGGAATTGAGATCATGAATTTCCATTGCTGAGTCATCATACTTGGACAAAATGGCCGTTCAGTGCTTTTTGGTTTTTAATAGTAATCTAATTCACATCAGCTTGTGATTTAAACTATAAATATTCACTAATTATTCTTAACGTCATCAAGATACCATTAGGACTGCATACCTTCTATTATGATTACTGAATATGGAATAACAACTTTTGTTAGACTTAAGCGTAACAATCCTGAAACAAAGTAACTGATAGTTAGTATAATCCAAGTATGAATGATTAGTGATAAAATTTAGTGATGTAGTAGTATGAAGTTTAATTGACATTATAAAAGTTTGTGTCAGTACTAATAAAAAGATGTATTCTTTAACTTACATTAAATTTTCAAAAGCTTTGATGTCTATTTAGGACATTTTGTTAGTTCAATTACATTAATAATTTGAACAAATCATCAAAATTTCGAACGTTTTCTGTATTCTACCAACAATAAGTAATTTTGACATATAGTTGTTGTATATTTTGGTAAATAAGGAGAAAGTATAGTGAAGGAGAACATTCGATCTGCACTGATAAAAACTTGACACACATGACATTGATCACCATCCAGTGATCAATCAATTGTGACCAATCCATTGTCTCAAACTTGACTGTTTCTTTTGCAAATATCAGTCCATCATTTTAGATTTAATTGTTCCTGCATTTTTATACCAATTGCTTTCCGTTCCCGTTCTTTCCTTCTCAATCTTCTACTGCAAGATATTACATTCCTGACTATCGTTACATACTACTTATGTGGATATAAGTAGCTCACACCATAATTTGAGAAAAATATTGCTTGTAATCGACTTTATTTCTACAAATTACAAAGCAATAGTTATAAGTATAACCATATTACACAGATTGAAATCATGAGTCGATTGAGGCTAGACCACCATGGAAAGCCTAGAAGCACTGGAAGACCGTTTCATCCCAATATGGGACTCCTCAGCGGTGCGCATCAACGATCCCGCCCCACCCTGCGAGATTCGAAACCAGGACCTATCAGTCTCACGCCAGGCGCTTAACCAACTAGACCACTATGCCGGCCGGCAACCAACGGTGTTAATGTCAAACTTTAAACAATCCACGAAGTTGCGCTACCGTACACCATTGTCTTCAGTGAGGTGATGTCTCACGACTGACCTGGTTGAACTCCACTGGTAACGACTTGTCACTAGAACTTCAAGAGTATCTCTTGAAGTCAGTCACTAGTGATCAGATCATCGAATGTCGCGGGGTGCGGGATCATAGATACGCACTGCTGAGGAGTAGTCTCATATCAGGACGAAACGGCCAGTTGTCCAGTGCTTCCAGATTTTCCATGGTGGTCTAGCTTTAATTGACTCATTATTTCAACCAGTGAAATTTCTAAAATTCCTACAAAACCCATTCTGAACATAATTATTTCCCAATATTTTTTATTAAAACGAAAACCAAAAAAAAAATCAATCACATTTTCATCTTGGTAATAGAATAAATGACAAAGAAAAACTTCTATTATCAGTAGTTCGTCAAGAATTAAGTAAAACTAACAATAAACAAAAAAAGAAATCATCAATAGAACAAACATTGAATCAAATGAATTCAATGAATAAAGAATTGCCAAAAATTAAAGGTCCATTTAAAAATCCAGATGAAGTGAAAAAATGGATAAATAAACCAATAAATTTATCATTACGTGTATCAACAGATTATTTTTCATTAGAAAAATCTCAACAAATTTGGAAATCTAAAGAATGGAGTAATAGATTACATGATGATAAGTAAGTTACAAGAATTATTTTTCTCTAATTAGACATAATTGATAAGTTTTGCAAATTGAATGTTATATTCGTTTCCTAAACTATTCTGTAACCCTCAAGCTAGAATTATACAGTGATCTGAACAACAAGAGAAAAGTTGTAAAGTATGCCAAAAGTACTTTACTTCAATGGTTCATTTTAGCACAGAAAACATAGGGTTTTTATATTATTTTTAAATGTCCTTGGGTTTCTCGAAGATTCTGGAATGCTACTAAGTACAGTAGCAGTGTAGCAATCAACCAATCAGAAACTCTGCATGTGACGTTTCATTTCTTTGATATTTTTGGCTAAAACGTTAAGTGAACGCTGATTGAATGAAATGCTTCTTAGTGTTTCCTGATCCTTGCTTGTCTTTTGCAAGAAATTTTCTGGATCACTCCAACAATAGCAATGATGTATCTCTTCATGTTCCTTACTTTTCTATTTCTAAATTTATTTCACTGAATTATACTCCTTAGGTAACATATTCAAACCTTAATCTTTCCGATTACTGCTTATACTTTTACTACCTCTACCACAACCGGATTTGAATCGATAACTGTATCTCTGTGCTAATGTGGTATGGCAACGCAAACTGATGCAAGGACGTACGAATTTCTATATTGTTGCTGACTGACTGACTGAGTGATGTATCAATTGAATTTGATAAGTTCATCAATTGGAAAAAAATGGATGAATTTACGTATATAAGTAATTTCACTTAAAGTACAATTAAATCTGAACTTTATAAGAAAGTTATACAAGATGATTCAAGTTTATTTCAAGCAAAGAATGTTAGTTCTCAATATTACTGTAAATATAACTCAGTAGTGTGTCTATAACCAATTCGAAATCGATGACAAGAGTTCCGTATCTTTTACCTTCAACAATGTTATTATTATAAATACAATGCAAATATATTAAAGATAACGACCCAATGTAAGTAAAATGCGTTATCAAGTCAATTAAATTTAAATTCATACTTGTCAGTTAACCAATGATAAACAACATAGAATATGAGATATATTTCCATCTTTTCTGGTTACCACACCCCATTACACCGCGAAATGAAATTGTCATGACAAATGCTGAATTATTAAAAATCGTAACAGTATCAGTGTTATTAGAAAAGATTAGAAGAAAAGACAAGGCAAGATGGAGAACTACGAAAGCCATCATCCAGAAGATACAAGTGTTTATTAAGAGCTGTCTACGCAAAATACTTCGGATCCGTTGGCCAGACACTATCAGCAACAACCTACAATGGGAGAGAACAAATCAGATCCCAGCGAAGGAATAAATCAGAAAGAAGTGCTGCAGTTGGATGGGAAACAAATTGGGGAAAGCACCCAAGTAAGCCACAAGACAAGCTCTCACATGGAATCCTCAAGGCCAAGGGAAAAGAGGAAAACCAAAGAATATATTACTTTAAGAAATGGAGACAGATATGAGAAAAATGAACAGAAATTGGATAGAACTAGAAAAGAAGGCCTAGGACAGAGTGGGTTGAAGAATGCTCGTCAGAGGCATATGCTCTATTGTAACAGGCGTAAGTAAAGTAAGCAAGTAAGAAGACAATATCACTGGAAAAGAAAGAATTCGTGAAGTATAAAATATAAGCTAATTTCGGAACTTCAGATCTAAGGAAAAATAAAAATGAATACTTCTACATCATTTTGATCGATTTTAATTCTTGTTACACATTTTCAACTATTGGCTGACATAATTATGTAAGACCCAATTAAGTAGTCTGTAAATGGAATGCTAGTGATTGAAAGTTATGTCTACATTATGATATAATAAATTCACGAACAACATATCCTGCTATATAACATTCACAAAATAAAAAATCAACACACTTAAGCATTTTGAGCACTAGCTCAGTTAACATTGTCTGTCGCACATTTATACAGACTATCAAATTGATATATATTACAATTTAAACGTTCTGACTAGAATCTATAACTGATTCCTTAAGAAAATATTGAACGACTATGAATATTTGATAGTTATCAATTATCAACAGATCATATTGAGCATGGCTTATGATTCTTCTTTACTCTGTCAATTGGCTTTCAAGTACCCTATATATATAGGCGGAATGTTTCCTCATTGAAATGATAACTGTTAGTTAGATATAATGACTTGACACCATTCTATATATTCTTATGTTAATTTACAGTATTTTTTATTGTTCATTGAATTAGTTTCTACACTGGTCATCCACCATCAATACCATATGAACGTTCATTATGGACAACATCTGTGTACGGTTCAATACCATATGGTACAAAACATTTTCGTGCATCAGAAGATGAAAATAATTCAGCAATACATAAACAACCAAAATTTCGTAATATATTACCACCGATTCCATTATTTGATAAATTTAATAGAGAGTATATACCAGGTTATGCAACAGGATGATTATATAAAAGTATGTGTAATAGCAGTCTTTGATATGAACTAATCAATTGAAGTTTCCTTTAGAAAAAAATAATAAAATGATTGAAATTCCAAATATCTTTTTCAATTCTTCAACTAGAACATGTAATCAAAGTGATATTGTTTTGATCTACAATTCACTAAAACCACTTAATGTCAGCGTATTATGTCATGATAGTTAAAATATTTTGAGAATCGAATTAGTTGTCTACTCTTACATCTTATGTTATATGTGATTGATGCGTGGGCGAGAATGATAATGATTAGTTGTCTGCTTAGTCAGAAATGTAGATAGTCTGACAGGTGTCAGATGAGTTATATATTCCCCTATTCTTATTATTATGATTATTACTCAATTATTATTGATTGTTCATTGTTGTTGGATTGTGTCGGGTTTTTGGTGTGGAAATATATTTACGTTGTAGCCAGGCTAATCATGTGTTCTTGATCTGAGTTGTGTTGAAGTCCTGTAGAATAGAAACTAGGACGGAATCTAATGTACATATTCATCTAAGGTGAATTAATGTCCCATACGTGTAAACGTGGAAAACCAACCGTTATAACTTTAGACGAAGTAAAACCGAGTGTTACGACAGTGATAATTGGTTTATTCTCTGCAGTTGCTACGTTTTATGATTTGTAGAGATTATAGAGATTTTGTAGACCTATAATGCAAAGAATTTTTTCTGGAACTCAAAGCAACTGTCAACCAACACCAAGGTCAGGATTTTCAATACAAATGTCAAGACAGTTCTACTGTATGGGGCGGAAACCTGGAGAACTACGAAAGCAATCACCCAGAAAATACAGGTGTTTATTAACAGTTGCCTACGCAAAATACTTCAGATCCGTTGGCTGGACACTATTAGCAACAACGTACTGTGGGAGAGAACAAACCAGATCTCAGCAGAGGAAGAAATCAGGAAGAAGCGCTGGAAGTGGATAGGACACAAATTGAGGAAAGCACCCAACTGCGTCACAAGACAAGCCCTCACTTGGAACCCTCAAGGCCAAAGGAAAAGAGGAAAACTGAAGAACACATTACGTCAAGAAATGGAAATAGACATGAGAAAAATGAACAAGAATTGGATGGAACTAGAAAAGAAGGCCCAGGACAGAGTCGGTTAGAGAATGCTAGTCGGCGGCCTGTGCTCCATTGGGAGTAACAGGCATAAGTAAGTAAGTAATAATGAAAAAATATTTATAAAGACTAAAAAAATTGATTTTAACTCCCCGAAAATTTATTCATATAGGTTAAGGCTATCAGCTTATTAGTTTCTGTGTTTGATTTTGTGTTTAGTGACAAGTTTTTTACTTTTGTATACACATTATTTTTAGAACTATCACTGCGATAGTTCATTTGTATTGGTTATTTGAATCTTGTCATTGATGATTAGGATTGTAATTGATTAGTCCTAAGGTGAAAGTCAATTCGGGGATGCAGGACGAAATGATCGTCCTAAACTCCACTACTAGTCAACGTCCATTTCTACCTATATCACTATGATAGTTTAATCCAAACCACGTATTATTTCTGCTTTCATAATGACGATTACCATACTTTCTATATCAAAATGTAGCTTTTTAGAATTCAAAAATGAAACAATAAATGTTCATTGTATACTAACTGACTAATTGATAGCAATCAATAATGTGTATATCTGATGTTTAAGTATGAGTCTAATTTTATTAATGTCATTGGAATATTATCATAAATCTAAGTGAACTCATTATAATAGTAGGTTAAGACAACTCCAAACTTTTCAAGAAATATTGTAGTGAACGAGAACACAAGTATAGACGATTAAATATATATGAACACAAAATTACAGAACATCATAGTAAAATCTGAGAACCATACAGTAAATAATTCGTTTGCAAAATATTGTTGATTTTTCGTTTCTACACCAATGATTCTCTGTCCTCTTTCTCCTTTTTCTTTCAATCATCTTAACCTTCTGTCGCTAGGTATTTCACTTTCGATTGATGATACATACTACGTTTATCATCGACATCAGTAGCACACACCACATTATCACATTTCTATTAGATGGTGGTTGGAGGTAGTCAACAGGAAATCCTGAACCCGAGTTTCGTGCTACTTAGCACTCGTCAGCAAAGTGTACTTATAATCTTTAGGGAAATGGTGCTCCCTGACGGGTTCGATCCTGTGTCACCCAGCTTCACAGTCACAGACATTACCACTGGGCTATCTGGGCTGCGACCGACCTCCTGTAGGACTGAGATGTAATCATAGTCGATTGATCACTGGGTGGTGATTAATGTCATATATTTCAAGTCCTTATTTACTGCAGATCGAATGCTATCAACCAAATCACATAAAATTCAAATACTCAATATCCTCAATTATCCTCACTAATTCTTAGTCAATATTATTGTGTATAATGAAATTTCTGTTCAAATGAATAAATCTCAGTATATGAATTAACCAAAATCTAAGGATATATATTCCTTAAAGATGTTAATCACCTATACTACTAACAAATTCAATAATTTCGAGTACAAATAATGGCAACACGGACAAAAAAAGAGAAAAATAACTATTACACTTAGAAACAAATAATTTTTTATATTTAAAAAAAGAAAAAAAAACTCATCAAATTGATCACAGACAATAAATACACTTTATGAAAATTAAGAGTTTTAACTCTTAATAATTTAATTACCAAATGAGATTACTCAATAATCAAGTGATAAGGAAAGAATAGGAATTTTGCTTTCCAATGAAATTATTTACGTAAACTATACATTTATATTCATCTTTCCCCATTCCTTCTTTATTCTTTGATTGTTACGTAATTTTATTTAATAAATAAATTTTTGGATGCGCACTGCTGAGGAGTCCCACAATAGGACGAAACGGCCATCTAGTGCTTCCAGGTTTTCCATGGTTGTCTAGTTTCAACTAACTCATGATCTCAACCATTGAAATTACTGTAATATCAACAAATACCCTTCTGATATGAATCAACATATGCTCACTAGTAACTGGCTTCAAGAGGTATTTCCTGGCATTCTAATGAGAAGCACTGACCAGCGGAGTTCAATCAGGTCTATTGTGAGATAGTAACTGACTGATGACAATGGTGGATGTGTCGCACGATTTCGTGGATTAGTTGAAGTTAGACATGAACATCGTTGGATGCCGGCCGGCTCAATGGTCTGATGGTTAAGCGTTTGCGCGCGAGTCTCATAGGCCCTGGGTTCGAATCTCGCCGATAGGGAGGCGGGACCGTGGATGTGCACGGCTGAGGAGCCACAGAATAGGACGAAACGGTCAGCTGTCCAGTGCTTCCTTCAGGTTTGCCATGCTGATCTAGCTTCAATTGACACATAATCTCAACTATTGAAATTACTATACTATTCACATAACCCCTTCTGATATGATTGAAATTTCAATTTACAAAATAATATTTACTAAAAACATTTCACATATACATACATCGATAGAAACATTTATACACATTATAATATACATGAATTAAAGAATAATTTATAAAGAGAGATGTTATGGAAAATAAAATAAAATAAACAATACAGTAAGAAGATATCTATATCTGTTATCATTATTATTATTATTATTATTAATAGATATAAATATATAAATAAATAACATGGAAAATTGAACATTGAATCCAGTATCACAGTGATTGGTTTGTTTTTTTTGTTTTAGTTTTCTTTTTTTTTGACAAAAAAGTTATCATCTTTTTTGTATACACGATGATTACTATATAAGATCTGTATATTGAAATGGGAAACAATTGAGCTTTTCTTTTTTTTTAAAAAAAAAAAAGAATTAGAAGACGATTCAACATGTCTCTTTTTGTCTTGCGCGCTTACTCTCTGTATTCTAGTTTTAAGGATATAATCTTGAAATAGAATTAGAGTGAATAGTTAAACAATGTTAAATTATATAAATTCTTTTATTCATATTGGTTATTAGAATAAAATAGTAGTATTACTAGTAGTCGTTGTAATAGTAGTATCAGTATCAGTAGTAGTAGTAACAGTAGTATCAGTATTAGTGTTTGTAGTAGTCGTAATAGTAATAGTAGTAGTATTACTAGTAGTCGTTGTAATAGTAGTATCAGTAGTAGTAGTCGTAGTAGTAGCAGTAGTATCAGTATTGGTGTTAGTAGTAGTCGTAATAGTAATAGTAGTAGTAGTAGTATGTTTTCTTTGTACAATAGAATTAGATTTACAAATTATTCATTATTTAGTGTGTATATATTAGATCCCTGAACAAGAAATAATAATAATAATCTGAGAGGATAATTAAAAAATAAAACAAATTTATTGTTAGTACTATTATAACATGTAAAATAAAAAAATGCATTTCTTATCATACTTTAATATTACTTCAATTGATATAAGAATAAGAAGAAAAAACTTTGAAAAATAACATAAACGAAAAAAATTTTCTAGAAAAAAAAAGAAAAAGAAAAAGAAAGAAAGAAAAAAAGAGGAAAATTAAAATCTTGTCAAAAGATTATTATTATTATTATTATCATTTAAAGTGTCAATATTATTTTCATATAACCTAGGTACATTTAATGCATTCGAATTAATTTGTATAGGATTAGGCATAGTGACATGATTTGTTAAAGAATATTTTTTAGAATTATCAATTGTATTATTATTATTATTATTATAAATTGTTGGTATAGTAGAAGTATGAATATGGTTTGGAATAGTTGTTGTCAATGTGTTTGTATCCAATGAAAGAACATCATAAACATTTAAAATATTACTTGGTTTATCATCATCATCATCATTATATGTCATGGATGGTTTATTAGTTGATGTATTATTTGGTAATGAATATATTGATTTATCATCTATTCGATGACTTTGTAATTCATCAACGATTTGATTTGTATAATCATAGATATTCTGTAAACAAAAACAAAAAGAAAAGAAATAAAGAGAAAATTGAGAAATTGTTTATCACGTAAAATCAGACTCGAAAATGTTTAGTGAAATGAGTTAGATTAGCTTGATGATTTTCATGAAACGAACCACATAACAAGCTTCTACAGCTTGGTTCTTTATTAATAGAAAGAGGAATTTATTTATGTCTTGTCAGACAAAGCCAATCAATTCGCTGTCACGATATCATAGACGAAAAATTTACCCCTATAAGAAAAAATACTTGAGGAAAAATAGATATCCGTCGAGATTTGTTGACGAGAATATGAACCTCAAATCTCCAAAATAATCAATAAGTTATGTTGAAAAGAGAATGATTTATAAGAGTATTGATTTTGAGGTTGACAAAAGTGCAGATCAATCTTTGGGTTATAATTATTCACTCGAGTTATGTTTAACAAAAACCTAGAGAATAAGTTGTGTTAGTTTTTCACTACGTGTATATTTATTAATTCACTTGTCCTTGCGGATTTAGGTATATTATTCCTTCGATAAGTTTTCTATCCAAGAGGATTCAGAAATATTATCCATAACAATTGAAAAAAGACAATAGTGAATGTGTAATAAGCTTAATAATTGATTACCTTGTAAGTCGTTTCAATCAGAACAGATTTACTATTCAAAGTCATCTACAAGATGAATAGAAACCTACCAACTACAACGATGTTCGATTTCCTTCGTGTAACTCGAGCTTTCAGGATATAAGTGTCCATTTACGATCCCTAGTTTTCATTGGTTGTCTAACACGTTTCAGTCTACGATATATTCCGTGACAAGTTAGAACACAACACTATAACTTGAATAATGATCATTACTCTAATAAAGTAAAAATGTTTATTTGTATGTGATTAATTATGTTCCAAGCAGTGATAGATGACTGAACAAAGAAAGTCATTTCCAGCTCTTAATAAGTATATAGACTTCTTTTTAAATGTAACTGCGATTTCTGTTTTAAATATCATAGTGTTGCTTTATAAACCAATAATTCAGCTTTATATGATCCTAAACCGTTGGATCAGAATTGTGTATCACATGATCTATTGTGTGTCAAGTCCTTATTTAGTGTAGATCAAATATTATCGACTATGTTGCAATGTGGCCACCAGTCTAGGCGACTGGACACTGCGTGCACTATATATATTGAGATTAGATGGTGGTTGGAGGTAGTCAACAGGAAACCCTGGACCCGAGTTTCGTGCTACTTAGCACTCGTCAGCAAAGGAAAATGGTGCTCCCTGATGGATTCGACCCCGTGTCACTCAGCTTCACAGTCACAGACATAACCACTGGGCAATCTGAGCCTCGACCGACCTCCTGTAGAACTGAGATGTAATCAGAGTTGATTGATCACTGGGTGGCGACCAATGTCATGCGTGTCAAGTTCTTATTTACTTCAGATCAAATACTAATTCAAAAATATAAAATATTAATAATCTATAATAATAATAAACTTACTTCATCTTTTTCTTCAATATCTTCTAATTCATCATATTGTTTTGACATAATTGATACTCTTATTGATGTTCTTGTATACATTTTTGATTGTTTTTGTTTCTTTTTTAATTCATCTCTTAAATGATTTAATTTCCATTGCCAATTTTGATCATCAATAGTACGTATAATTAAATCTGGTATTAATGCTAATAATGTTATACAAAATATACTAAACCATATTAAACCACAACCAGTATCAGTAAACATTATTGTATATGTACCATATAATTGTTTACCAAGTTCTGTAGGAAATAATACATTATTACATATTAAAAATATTGAAATATTTATTATAATAGCTAAATTCCATATTAATAATATAATCCAATTTAAGTAATAACTTATAAGTAATACTTTAATATTTACAACAAGAAATATAATTAAAATAATAAAATTACCATAACATATAAGATTACTTAATTTAGAAAGACCAAAATCATTTGCATGACCTTGAAAACTTAAAAAATATGTACCAAAAAATATAATAAATGCATGCCAACAAGCTAAACTAATCCATATAAGAAAATGTTTTTTAGATAAAATATAATTTCTAGCTATATTTTGATATAATATAGGAAATTCTAATAAAATTGATTTTGGTATAGATATTTCAAATATTCCATATAAAAATATTGGTAATGATGTCATAATTAAATTAAATAAAATTAAATATATTTGTGGATATATAGATTGTTGTGAATAAACACAATAAAACCCATAAAACATTTGTGGTAATGTAAAAATTAAATTTTTATAAAAAAAATATAATACTAATAAGGATACACGTTGATAATATAAATGTCCATGTACTAATAATACATTTTTTAAATAATGAAAACGTCCAAATGCATAATCTGATGCACGTACTGCTTGTCTACCTTCTTTACCATAAATACCAAAACCAATATGTGCTTCTAATATCATTGATACATCATTTGCACCATCACCAATAGCAGCTGTAATTGGTATTGGTTTATGACTTTCTTTAATTAAACGTATAACTTCAGCTTTTTGTAATGGTGTTGAACGACAACATAATACAGTTGATGATTCTAAACAACATTGGGTAAGTAATGATCTTATTGGTTCCTAATTAATAAAATATTAATACAAAGAAAAAAAATGAATAAGGAACTTGATTAAATGGTTGATTGTATTTAAAAATAGTAAAATAATTATCACAATTGATTTATCACTAGTTGGTGATTAATGATATTGTGGTGTGAGCTACTTATACTGATATGAGTAGTATATAATGTGCGTTAAAAGAACGTAATGTCTGGCAGCGGAAAATGGCGAAGATCAAGAAAGGTAGAGCGAGAATACAATGGAATTTGTAAGAAATGCATGAACAATGAAATGGGAGACAATGGATTGGTGTTTGAAACAGAAACAGTCCAGTTTGATTTGATGCATGAATATTTTGCAAATTGACGATTGACTATATCGTGTTCAGATTTTGTTGAGATAGACTGTAATTGTTGTGCTAAATACATCCGTTTGTCCCCACCCGTATTCTTGTTCACTACAATATCATGTGTGTCAAGTCTTTATTTAGTGCAAATCAAACGCTATCGACTATGATGCAAAGTGATCACTAGCCTAGGTGACTTGACACTGCGTGCACTATTATGAGATTAAAATAATGATATTTAACATCACTTTTTTTGGAATTTGTCATGTCGTGTCTAGAGTATTATGTTAAGCTCATATTGGGTTATTCTAGTTTCCCAAGTGAATATTTGACAAGACTATAATTTATGGATGAACACCTATCAGATTTAGAATAACAGGCGTGAAATTCATTCATACATTTGTCTAAATAGAATTTTGACCGCTTAGCTGATGATGATTCAAGACAACATTGTGTAACTAATGATCTTATTGGTTCCTATGATAAAGTAGAAAATATTTTTTAAAAAATGAATGAGGAACATGATTGAATGGTTGATTGTATTTAAAATAGTAAAATAATTATATTTAGCATCACTTTTTGATTTGTTATGCTACAAGAAAAATATGGTTAGATGTCTCACTAGTAGAACTAAAAAAGATCTGTACAGTAGACACTCTAAGTCAGGAGCTTGGATTCATCAACAACTAGCTGACTGAGATCGGCTACCCCAGTGCTTTCATTAAGAAGTACATGCATGACATAATAAAGAAGTCGGAAATTTCGACTGTTCATAAGAAATTTTTATACATGAAAATAAACTTCAACGGGGATGTGACTAGTGATACTCTGAATTATAGGTTAAAGAAAGTAATCACAAGAACATTCTACGGAGCGAATCTTGCGTTGACTTTCTCTTATCGATCACTAATGTCTACGCAAACGAAGGATAAGTTACCTGAGTTCACCTCCTCAATGTGCATTTACAAATTTAGCTGCTCCTGTGGAGCGTACAACCATAAATTAGATAGGTTACTGATAATAATAATGATAATAATAATAATTTATCAGAAGGGGTTTGTGGAGATTTTAGAAAATTCACTGATTGAAATCATGAGTCAATTGAAACTAGACCGTCATGGAAAGCCTGGAAGCACTGGACAGCTGGCCGTTTCGTCCTAGTATAGGACCCCTCAGTGATGCGCGTTCACGATCTCTTACCCCTTGGCGAGATTCGAACCCAGGACCTATAAGTTTCGTGCCAGGCGCTGAACCAACTAAACCACTGAGCCGGAATCCAACGGTGTTAATGTTTAACTTCAACCAATCCACGAAGTTCCGCCAATTTATTATTGAGCTGATAAACGATTTCCGATTATCTATTCTACTATTCTATCCAATTATTACACGGGATTTGATTATGAATACTTTATTTACAAAACTTATGATGCATCATTAATTTTTACAACCCAGTTTCAGTTGTTCAATACATCCATAAAAGTACTCGGAAGTCAGATTATTTTTTAGCAAACTATTAGTCACTATCATTTTCTAAACATAATTTTCCACAACCATAAATAATTTGATAGAATTGTGTGCATAGAAGATTTTTATTCAATTCACCTTATTGACAATCATTGATACAGTGTATGAGATCAAATGCGCTTGATGATGTTTCTATCAACATGAAAGATTGACGTTCATCTTAGGATCGCATCATTTTTGTGATCTTTACAACCCTTATAGATATGTTTGATTCATTTGAGAAAAAAATAAAGATTGTCTACCTCAGTATGTGATCTTTTTACACACTTTCTAAAATCTCATGTTTTGATTCTGTAAATGATTATATTCATCAGATTAATCGTATTCAAGTTTAACTAAATCTAGTAAGCAGTGCAGATTATTTCATACACATAAGTATCATTACACACTTCTCAAAGTAAATCATACAGAAGAAATGTATATTAATTCATCCATCTGTACATACATACGTTAACGTGTTATACATTTCATGCAGCTTATTTAAAATAGTTTAAGACAATTAATTTGAAGCTTCAAGTCTAGGTTTCGTACTAGTTAACATTTTGCCATTGTTATGTATCAGCTGACCTGGATCCCAAATGAGTTATCAACTCACCCATGATCTCTAATACATCTTACTATTCCTGACTGATATTATATACTACTTATGACAACGTATGTAGCACACACACACCACAGTACTAATATACATCACTTAAGTATGAATGTTTTTTTTCGTTCGATAGCATCCAATTTTAATCTTAATTGAAATAAAGTCAAAGCTTTTATACTTAAAATACCAGACAATAAACAAATTTCTACGTTAATTACATTAAAATAAAGATGCTTTTTCATTTACTGTTAATACGTTTACTTACCACAAGAGCATAATTTAATGATTGACCATCTATAACAACTCCAAATTGTGTATCAGCATCATACATTTTCGATTCTTTAATTCGTTCAATTTGACTTTTTAAAAAACTTCCACATTTCACTGTATCATCAAAATTGGTAACACGAATTTCTTGCATACCAGGATAAAAATGTCCAGCTGCATAACTAATATTAACAGCTGTCTCTTCTTTATCACCTGTAAGTACCCATATCTAAAAATGTAAATAAAAGTTTTAATTAGGATGATGTTACTATCAGTTCAAACGGAACTTCAATATATCTGGCTTCTTTCAAACAAACTTCAGTACACTGTATAGTATCATATCGTTTTATTTATTTCTTATCATTCTTCTCACTGAACTTACTTACTTACGCCTGTTACTCCTCGTGAAGGAGCATAGGCCGCTCACCAGCATTCTCCATCCAACCCTGAGCAATCCTTTCTAGCTCCGTCCAGTTGTAATTCATCGTTTTCATATCTGCTTCTATTATCTGACGCAAAGTGTTCTTTGGCCTTCCTCTTTTTCGCTTCCCTTCAGGATTCCAAGTTAGGGCTTGCCTCGTGATTCAGTTTGACGATTTGCGTAATGCATGTCCTATCTTCTCACTGAAGGTATTCTAGTATTTAACTAATAGCTTGAAAAAATATAATGTTCGTTAATGTAGTCAGCAGTAAACTGAATGATGTAATCTGGACATTCGTGGGAATCAATGTTGATTAAAATGGTCCAAACATACTAATTTTAGTTTCAAAGTGTAAATATATAGAATGAACTTAGTGGTAACATCTCAGAATGTGAGATTAAGTGACAAAGATACGAATCGATCATTTCCATCAAGATTATATGTAAACACCTTGGTGGAGAGTGTTAATCATTACGAAATGTATGTCCAGAGTTTCTCACTAACTATTTTGATCCACTTAACATTCAATTAGAATTTTTAGAGTTGTTCATCTACCTTAAATAAATGAGATTTAAGTCTGAAGGGTACTATAATTCGTTCACTTATCACATCTAATATTCTCAGTCTAGTAAATAAAACAATAAAGGTTTTCAGCTGAGTTCTAATGTTCTGTTAGTTGTTTTTCAAGCTATTAACAAAAAGACAAAGCTAACAAATGTTATTGAATTACAAGAGAATACGTAATACACAAGAATTTGGCAATTAAACAAAAGTTAAATACCGATATGCCAATTTAAACGTAACGTAGTTGTAAATGACATTTTACTTTGAGATAGTTGTTAGTATTATTTTGCCGCCTTTATTATAACAATTAACCAATTTACTATTATTGATACCATATCAATTTTATTCAATTATTCATTTTTATAACAAGAGACTAAGTTTTATATCAAGAATGAACATTATTATTAAGATAGAACAATTGATGAACGGAATTCTTCGTCCTATTCTTAAACAACTATGCAGTAAATCGTAGATTGGTTGAAGTTAAACATCAACACCGTTGAATAACGACTCAGTGTTCTACAGATTAAGCGTTCGTACAAGAGACCGGAGGTCCAAATTTTTAATCCTGTGTGTGGAAATGTAGATGTACACCTCTGAGAAGCTCCATACTAGAATAAAAGTGCATCCAATGATCTCAGATTTTCAATAGCGGTCTAACATTGATCAGTTCGTGATCTCAAATAAAAAAACTTCAATTCTTTACAGACGAGTAATTAATAGTTTTAAATCTTAAATATGTAGAATCCAACAAACTTTTAGATATAAATTTTCATACTTTTATAAGATTTTTTATTAAGGTATCAATGCCAAGGTTGAACTGTATAGTTTCAAATAAGCATTGGGTAGAAAGTTGATAATAAATATACAATCTGTTATATCCCAATGAATAGAAAAAACTGTATTTCTGACGTTTCGTAACTTAATGTAAGCCACTTCTTCAAAGTAAACGAAAAACTTTATCCAATTATTTACTTACTCTGAAGAAGTAGTTTACATTAAGTAACAAAAAGTCAAAAAATATAATTTTTCTACTTATTAGGATATAACGAAAAATATATTTATTTTATATGATTTGTTTACTTGGAGAAATACTACAACCACCATCAAGAAAGTACAAGTATTTATAAATAGTTGTCTACACAAGATACTCAACATCCATTGGCCGGATACCATCAGCAGCAGTCTACTGTGAGAGAGAACAAACCAACTTTCAACTGAAGAGGAGATTAGGAAAAGACGATGGAAATGGATAGGACATACATTACGCAAATCATCAAACTGCATCACGAGGCAAGCCCTAACTTGGAATCCTGAAATGAAACGGAAAAGCGAAAGATCAAAGAACACATTACGTCGGGAAATAGAAGAATATTTGAAAATGATGAATAACAACTGGAGAGAGCTTGAAAGAATTGCCCAGGACAGGGTTGAATGAAGAGTGTTGGTGGATGGTCTATGCTCTTCTACAAGGAGTAACAGACGTAATTTGTTAATTAATGAAATTCGAAAAAGACTGATGCTTGTTAGGGAATATTCGTTTAACTCCTAAAACATTACTTGTATAACATATATGATAGAATATGAAGATATTCTTAAACAAACAAAATATGATTTAATTTTGAAGTAACAACCAAGAAATAGCATCAAACTAACTTTAATTCCAGCTTCTCGAAGTGCTTTTATAGTTTCAGGAACACCATCTTGAAGCATATCCTCTATACCAGTGCATCCAATTAATGTAAGCTTTTTTTCAATTTCATTATAAGCTGTAATTAATTCTTTTTGACGTCCTTCATTCACTATACTTCTTGCTTTATCAAGTTTAGTTTTTAATTCATTCCATTTTTTAATAGTGATTAATCGTATACCCATAACTAATGTACGTAAACCTAAAGTTGCAAATTCAGTCACTTGTTTCATAACTTGTTCAGAATCCATTCTTAATTTTAATCCAGCTGTTCCACAGAAACTATCACCTAAAGGATCTCCATATGCACTGAATGTGTTAGGTTGTTCCATATGATCAATCTAAAATATTGTTAATATAATAATAAAATTTGATTCATTAGACTATAAAATGTTTTTTTTAAAAAAAAACACAGTAAAGATTATTAATTTGAACAAAACTAACGTCTGGTACTTTTGTCCAAAAAAACCCCTGAAACTATGTCGATATAAATACATTCACAGTTATTCAATTGGTATTGTTTGGCTTGTATCTTCCCATTGAGGTTTAAGACGGAAATCGATCAGTTTGTTATTGGCATATGTGCATATTGTGTATATGCCTCGATATTACCTTAATTCACAAGCTTTTTGTAAACAATGATGGATAGTGGCTAGCGGTAGAATCCAGGACGCGCGTTTCGTCCTATTTGGATAACGCGATGGCGTTTGAAGCGAATGGTACTGGCTTCGAGTCCCAGAGTGAACATCAACTCTCTGAGATGCAGGTACATCCAGCTGACGAGTCTCAAACAGGACGAAACGCGCGTCCTGGATTCTACCGCTAGCTATTATCCAGCATTGCTTACGAAAAACATTCACAGTTAGTTCATGTAATAACATGAAATTAAGGATAGACGTTTTTAATGATGAAACTCAATAAAAAATCGGTTATCAAACATTATGTGTACGGGATTGTAGATGCGCACTACTGAGGACTCTCATACTCGGACGAAACGACTGTCTAGCTCTTTTAGGTTTTCAATAGTGATTTAACATCAATCCATCCATGATATTAATTTAAACTCAACAATTTCCAAAATCCTATACAGATAATCTTCAGATTAATTTAATTTTATGAAACCTTCAATAAATATTACATAGTCACTTTGAAGAAGAAAGTCTCTAAGCGATAAAACAACAATTTTTACAAACATAATTGGTGATGATGAATCAAGTTAAGTGAACTCATCTATTTATAAAGATGTTGATTTTTGTAAACTATTGAAAACCAATTAAACTTAAAGTTAAGTAAAAACAATGGTAATCGGAAGGATGATATAATAATAAGACAATAATCAAGTATCATACAACTCAACTCATTGAAGTGTGCGAAAGATCGTCAGAATAGATTTAAGTTTGGAAGATAATGTATTTGTACCCCCCCCCCCAAAAAAAAGGATTTAAACTTTTTCTTCGAAACAAATTGAAGAGCTTTGGAAAGTAGTTAACTTCTATACTGATATGTGTTTAATATCATTGTTTTAGTCAGCAGTTTGATGCCTTTCTTCGGTTCAGATTCTTTGAATTTTGTTAAAGAAGTACTCGATTAAGCTTTGCCAATGGTTTTGGAAGTCTATAGTAGTTCAGTGTTTTCTAGAAAACACTGGACAGCTGTTTTGTTCATCCATGATCCTGCACGCAAGATTCAAACTTAGAACCTTCGACCTCATGCGTGAACGCTTAACCTGTAAGAGCTAAATTCATTTCATGACTGTATACAAACTGCAGCTTATTTATTTATTTCTTAAGTATTCAAATTAGTTTTTTAATTTAGAAACATTTTATTATCATTCAGGACAACTACACCAATACAGTTTCATAAAGTATTATGTAATACAAATTAAAATAAATCATAATTTGACCGATATACTTTTGAATTCTAATTTATTTTAATCAAAGAGGGTTTTTTTGAATATTATAGTAACTTTAAAAGTTGAATTCATGAGTCAATTAAAGCACGACCATCATGGAAAACCTGGAAGCACTGGACGGCTGTCTTGTCCAAGTGAAAGACTTTTCAACAGTGCGCATCTACGAACCCACCTCACGAGATTCGAACCCAGGGCCTATGAGACTCGCACGCAGATACTTAACCTCTAGACCACTGAGCCTACCGGCATTCAACTGTGTTAATGTCATCAGTGAGTTACCATCCCACAACCGACCCAGTTGAACTCCATTGACACGGCTTTTCACTAATATTCCAGGAAATACCTCACAAGTGAGCATATGATGATTATAATGAGAGATGGATTTTGTGGATATAATAGTAATTTTAATAGTAGAATTTATGAAAAGACCCATATTAGGATGAAACGGCCGTCTAGTGCTTCCAGGTTTTCTATGGTTGTTTAGATTCAATTGATTCATGAATTCAACTATTCCAATTTTTTTGTTTTATTTGAATTTAATGGTTTTAGCGGATTACTTTTTTTTGAAAAGAAAAAAATTCGTAATGCAAATTTCGGCATCATCAGAAAGCTGCACGACCAAACTACCCAGGCCAGAGAACAAAAGTCCATCAAAATCATCACAATTAAGAATTTGTACATTTTCCTATTTACTCAATTAGAAATTTCGGCGAGACTACAATTTATGGATGACCTCCGAACGAAACTTAATTGACCTTGAGAAATATTAGCCAATCAGTAAACAGAAAGTATAGAGTAAAAATATGTTATACAAAACCAAGGAAATAAAGTGGATACACTTCTTATACGTGGTTCAAAAACTTATCAAGCTTACAAATAGGTTCAGAGGTTCTAAAATCGTCATGCATACGGTAGAGGAAATCATCCATATGGCTACGGAATAGTCGACCTCTGGAGTCATGATAAAGTCTTAAAAACCCTTTCAGACTCGACCACATAACTTCAATATTGTGTGTGCGCACTCCCGTTGTTCAGTACACAAGATCCCATTTGTGGATAACCACACGATGCACATGACCAAGCCTATGCACAACTCTGTTCGCTCTACAATCATCCGTATATATTGTGGTACCTGACTGCAGCCAGTGCTACTAGTGCTTTTATTATCCACTTCTTAATAATTGTCGTAAGTTGCCTTAGTTAAGAATTATATATAGAGTTTTCATCACGAATTATCATCAGCTATAACGTCAGAAATTTATTTAGCCAAAATGGATGAAAGATTTTCGCGCCGAAATCCGAGATCTGTTATCTCATACCTAATTGATTCGTCCACCAAATTATAGTCTCACTGTTTTATTTGTTATAGCCTCTCAATTATCACGTGTCGTACAAAATTCCCTGTGAATTGATCATACGTTAGCATTAATCATTGAAGGTGGCGCCGTGACCTTGAAATCTCTCAAACGCCTCTGATTGGCTCATCCATAAATTAGAGTCACTTCGAAATTTCTTATATATCACTTTATATTTTTAAAATTAACTTCTTAAATTATCTCAAATGCATAAAGTAATCCATTTAATTATCATAATGACCTATTTTATTAATCTTAATAGAAGAAAAAAATGTAAGTGAATAATTTATTTTTAATAAATAAACATTCCAATTAAACAATGACTTGAATATGAATTATAATTATAAGGAAATTTTGTTTTGTGCGCCTTCATAAATATCAAGAATCAATATTGTATTGATCAATCTCATGGAATGATGGCGTAATAATAATAATAACAATAATAATAATAATAATAACTTCAAACATTATAATAAGTATGGCTAATTTGCTTTCACATTTTATCAGCTATATATTAGTTTTGACAGGATTAAATTGATAAACATAGATATTAACTGCACTAAATCAATAATATTAATTAGATGACAGTGATTATTTACTTAATTATTCACAGGCTGAAACCTCTTAACTGTCTTTTCCGAGTAACAGTATATAACAACTATCCTACATTCAATTTCGTTGATGGTTAATTTTGATTAAGTCCTTTCATGAACTTACTTAACAGACATTGCTATTTGAATTAGAAACAATTCGCATATTTCTTTGTACAGTTATGATCATAAGGGAACATGACAGACTCTAGCTAAAATGTTGATTCCTTATATGTGGCTCGATGATTCATCCTCCTTCTCATACATATATATGTTCAAATCCTATTATTAGCCTTTGCTTTGCGTTGCTGGGCCCTTATGTGATTTAACTACAGATTTTCCGATATAATTTCTCGCATATACTTATTTGCCTCTTTGCTTCAAATTCGCTAGATATCTTATAGCTTTGCTATCCACTAATCAACTGTAGTTCCCGCATCTTATTGCCATCTGATTTCAAACACCGTTGAGATTTATATTATGACGGTTATCGAAGTAATTAATTAACGAAGCAAAACCACCAAAAGTGTTTACGTGTAAAGATCGTAAACACCTATGTAGAAGTACCTCATATTTTCATAGGCCACAGTATACAACACATGAATAAATAAAAATGGCCTGGTGATTAAAGGGAGTTGATTAATATATGCCATGTCGTAGTAATACTACAGTGAACAAGAACACCGGTGGGACAATCGAATGTATGTAACACAACATAACAGGACTTGTTAACAAAATCTAACAATCATAAAGTAAATGCTTAATTTGCAAAATTTTCATCGATTGTCTCAAAATGACTCGGACTTCATTGTTCTTGCGTTTTCATACAAATTACATTTTGTTACCATTCTTAACTGTTCGTTCCTCTTGTCTCTTTACTTTCAGACCTTCTGTTTACGACTAATATCATATACTACTTAAGTCAACATAAGTAGCACACACCACAATGCGACTCTCTTTATATTATTATTATTATTATCTGTAGGATTTAATTTGTCCTTCATATATATTGCTAGAACTGAAAACGCGATAATGGAGATCACAGAGTCTATGTGAACGCTATGGTCAGAATAAGGACAACTTAACTTTAAACTTGATCTATTTCTATACGTAAAAACAAATAAGATTAGTAATTAAGGAAATTACAGTTATTCAGTGAGACGCACAAATTTATCAACCAGTATTAAGTGTTTTATCGAAATGTATAAAATTATGAGTCTTACTAACATAATAGGATAATAATATCTTTCAATTGGTGAGGTTACATGCAACAGGGTTAGTTTACAAGTACATCAGACCAGATCAACGTGGTGATCGCTTAAACAACATTTGATCAGTTAGTAATGGACATAACTAACATTAACCTTTATTTCATAGTTTGTTTCAAAAAACTGTAAGCAAGTTACCTTGGTTTGAAATGAAAGTAGAATATTTATTTGATTAATTAATTAAATAATACAAGAACAGATAGGAATTAGAAAAAATAGTCTGACTGATGAAAGTAGAAATTAAATAGCAATTATATTTGTTGAGTCGGTATTCCGAGAACTGCAACGGAGCATCCAGAGACTCTAAAGGAGCTGAAGAGTCCTAGCCAATCAGAGCATGATGGAGCTTTCTAGAATATCAACGTGGCATGCTACTATTGGTCAGTAGCATAATATGTCTTTTAGCGGATTGGACAAAATACGATGTTGATTTAACAAATGTTAACATCTATAAATATCCATGTATTTCTGTACAAGAATGAACCTTCGGAGTAAAGTATTTTTCGCTTATCTTGCGCCTTTTCTCTCGAGTTCAGGTCGTTGCACAGTTCTAGCTTGCGAATTACCAGAATAGTTTAGGAACCGAATAAAGCGTTCAAATTAACAAGACTTATCAATATTAAATTTGAAAATTACTTACTCGACTCAAAAGACTTGTTTCAGCTCCTTTGCACAAAACGAGAACTGGAGAATCTAAGGATTCAGGTTCATTACTTTCTTTTGGTACAAATTGTACAACTACTGACATACATTTTCTTGTTGCATCAAATTCAAGTACATCTAATAAACGATATCTTACTGCTTCACCTTGAATTGTGATTACCTGAAACACAAGAGAATTATGTAATCATTGAAATAATATAATTTTTGAGAAAGAAATAGACTAAGTTTACCAATTTACATGTGTATGTGTAGTCACACATACATAGGGAGGAGCAATCGTGATCTCAAAATTAGGATGTGTACCAAAATGGTTGCAGAAACAATAGAATTAAATGACACAATAACAGTAGAGGATAAATGTTCATCATTCTCTATTACCAAACATATAATCGAAACAGGACAGAAAATTGATCTTAACTAGGCTTTTGTGATGTGCAAAATTGTAAAATGGCGTATACTAAGCATCGGTCATACGAAAATTCAGACCCCCTTTGTGTATTTAAAAACAGTTTGTTCTTACCCTAAACTTACCCTACTAAAATTGGCTTATTATCCAGAGTGATTAGGTTTCAAATTGTGTTCATATTATCATTATTATTATTATTACTCTCATTATTATCCTTGTCTCCTCTTACCCCATTTCCGGTCTAGTTGACCATTTATTTTTTATATATATAAATGTTGTAAACAAGTGTATTATGTGTGATCAGATTGTTCAAAATGTATTGCGCTAATATATCATCACATAGCTCTGATAATCTTCGTCTTCTTATTATATTTCAATGATTGAGATCATGGGTCGGTTGAAGCTAGACCAACATTGAAAACCTGGAAGCACTGGACTGTCGTTTCGTCTTATTGTGGGACTCCTCAGCAGTGAACATCCATTATCGAAATAGATTAATTTATAAAGAGATTTTAGTGATGTATTCACAGTAATGAACAATAATACATTTTATGTTACACTATATATGTGATGAGTTTCAAATGGGGGGTTTAAAATTTATGAACATTTTTCTAGTTGTTTTTTCTTAACTCAAGTGATCTCTTCCAAATCCTATGGTGATAGTTTGAGTAAGAGCAGATACTATATTATAGTAAAGAGATTTAGCATTTATTAATATACAGTCATTTCAGCAGTTTAAAAATCCACATAGAATATTCAAAAACGCCGCCAAGCTACACATAATTTTCTCAAACAAACCAGTACTCACACAACTAATCAAGGATAGGTTACCGAAGATAGGCTCTTCCATGTGTGTATACCAATTCAACTGCTCCTTTGGAGCCAGTTACATAGGCCGTACTCAGAGGGCTTTATCTTTGCGTGTTCGTGAACATGTACCACCTTGGTTGGGAAAAGGAATTACTAAGTCGATTACCAGCACTATTCTTCCACACTTGGTAGATAGTGAACATCATATCAAAATAGAGGAATCTTTCTCTGTTTTATATCAAGTTCCAAAATATCTACCTCACAGAGCTAGATTACTACTGCTTTACATAGCCGAAGCCATCTGGATCAACTCCAGAAGGCCATATTTATGTATCCAGAAAAAATATATACAGTCATTCATAAATACTCTGAACTAAAAATTTGGTTACGTAATTACTTGGTAACGTATTAAATTGGCATTGTATCCATCTTTAATAGTAATTACTGTGAAATGTTTATAAACCTTACAATGTAATTGTATTTCATAATATCACTTGTAATAATTATAATATTTTCTCAAATTGGCTGACATTTTTGGCTGGTATTATGGATATCTGATAAATTAGTCAATATATGAGAAGTTCACATTTCATAAATATATGCTTGCAATGTTAACCTAATTATTAAAAATGCTATTTTGAATTGTGAAACATTTGAAATGAAGTTCTTATTCTGATAAAAATGTAAAGTGTACATTTGTACATAAACTTCTAAAGACCCTAGCACATTATTCAAGTATTTGGTGTGCATTGATACTGTTATAAAAATGTTTGATAATAATAGTTAATCAAATGAAGTTTCAAAAGTATCTATAAGCATTTAAAAACATAAGATAAAATAGATTATCACTGTCAGAATAACGGTTATGAAGATAAATAAGTTTTTGATTGAGATCATGAATCGATTGATGTTAGATTACCGTTGGAAACCTGGAAGCACTGGACAACCGTTTCGTCCTATTTTAAAACTCCTCAGCAATGTGCATCCACGATCATACTCGTGGGATTCATACCTACGGTTCCCAGTCTCGCGCGCGAACGCATAACCCACTGGACTACTGAGTGGGGTCGTGGATGCGCACTGCTGATGAGTCTAACATCAATCGATGCATGATCTCAATAAAAAAGATTATCATTGCTTTTCTGTTGTTTGTCTTTATTTCCTATCTGTTTTGTCGGGTCAATCAATATATTTTGTATTTTGAAAAAATGAATGGAAAATCACTCTTTAATAAGAATACATTTTTATTAAGTTACTTCAGTAAAAGAACTTTTAGGAATGACGATATTAAATGATATTAGTTGCTTGAATTAACTGACAGATATTCTTCAAATTCCTTACCATTTACTGTATTTTAAATCACAAAGTAAACGTCAAGCAGTAGTAATACATTCAAGTGAAAATCTTGCATAATGATACTGTATGTATCAGACTATATATGGTAATTGAGAAGTAGAGTTATTAGCGCTTTAAAAAGTATAATTTCCCCCCAAAAGGTGTGTATCTAATTAAAAGGTATTAAAAGTTGGTTAAGCGCCTGGCGCGAGACTGATAAGTCCTAGGTTCGAATCGCGCGGGGTGCGGGATCGTAGATGCGCACTGTTGAGGAATCCCATACTAGGACGAAACGGCCTGCTGTCCAGTGCTTCCAGGTTTTCCATAATGGTCTAGCTTCAATTGACTCATGAACTCAACAAGTGGTATTAAAAGTGTTGAGCATAAGTTACAATTGTTTTTTCTCTTTATTACACCACACCGACTACAGCTATTCTAGGGTTACTGCCGGTCCCAAGCTAAGGTAAAAAAGGAGAGGGTTGGGAGTAAAATTATCAACTCTGTCCTGTAAAAGAGAAACTTGCCAAAAAAAATATACTAGTTAGTAAACGTTTTTATCATATAAAGAACTGACATAACTGAACATCTTTATTCATCAATATGCTAATTTACTACCAATATCCAAAAGAAAAAATATTACAAGTGTAGGCTAACAATAGAAAACGGGTTTTCCTTTCAATCTATTTAGTATCTTTCTTTAATTAGCTACTTACACGATTTCATCTTCAGTCATGAAAGCAGCTGATTAATATAAATATGTGTAGGACTTTACAAATTTTTGTAATTATTATTCATGTATCCTCATAATAGAGTATTGTATTGTTTAAGTACCGTTTTATGAATTTTATATTAAAATGAAGAAACTCAAATAAACTGACTGATGTATACCCGGCTAAAATGATTCATAAAAGAATATTTACATAAGATTTGCGCATTACTACGTCATTATATACACATTTTTTTTCTTAAAATAACCAACTCATTTTAGAAGTAAAGATAATTAGTGACTAGCAGTGGAATCCAATATGCGCGTTTCGTCTTATTTGGGACTAGGTCAGCTGGATGTACCTGAATCTCAAAGTTGATGTTCACTCTACGACTCAAACCCAGTACCATTCGCTTCAAACGCCATAGCGTTATCCACTCAGCTACTGATCCCATTGAGGTTTAAAACTGCAATTGATCAGTTTGTTATTGGCATATGTGCTTTGTTTATAAAAGCTTGTGAATTAAGGCAATATCGAGGCATATACACAGAATGTATTATGATGATTAGGAGTATTTGAATTATAGTACGAACTAAAAAATCCCAGAAATAACGTAATCGGATCAAGAAGTACTAGATAAGCACAAACGAATGTACTGTATATAGAATTCGAAATCAAGCATTCAACAAGTGCAAAGGAGTTCAAACACCACATACACATATACCAATAGTAGAGTGATCAATTGCAGTCTTAAACCTCAATGGGAAGATACAAGTAAAAAAATACCAAGTGAATTCAACTCATTTTAGTACTAGAGTTTTGAGAATTATTTTTCAGGTAACTGTGTGATAATAAAGTTTCTTTTATGATTACCAAAAGACATTACGAAACTTAAAGGATAATGAAAAATATTGATACTCTTTGACTTGATAATGATTTTTGGTGTAATTTTAATGAGTCAAGAAGACATTATGGATCAAAATTCATGATTAATTGCTGAGAAAATAATCTGACTATGATGTTGTACAGAAATTAAGAGGCAAGTTTTTACATGAATGTGTTGAAGCCTATAAATTCGAAGAAGACAAACAAAAATTAGGTGTTTGTGTCATTTGACTATATTCCACAAAAGATTAAGCAGCATTTTTTCTCAGCAGTACTATCATTTATCATTTGTTCAACAGTGTAAATGATGTTGATATTTAAAAAACCATTCAATATTTTTCAGTAAACAATGAATTATAAATTGATTATACTTTGCTAAAAGTGTTCCAATAAAGGGATTGGTCGAAGTTAAACATTAACAACGTTGAACGCCGTTCGGTTCAATGATCCAGAGGTTAAGTGTTCGCGCGCAAGAATGAAGGCCCTGGGTTAGAACCCCACAAGCGGGATTATGGGTACGCACTGCTGAGGAGCCCCATAATAGGACAAAACGTCTGTCTAGCACTTCCAGGTTTTCAATAGTGGTCTAACATCAATCGGTTCATAATCTCAATCAAAAATATAGTAATCTTCACGACCCTATACTGGAAATGAATGTAAACTGAATTTATATTATTGAAAAAGATGTAATTCAAAATCTATTTACCTTGATAGTTTCATTGTCATTTATGTTCATCACATGAAATTTACCTTGTTTCATGACCTTAATTATAATTTCCAATTTTTTTTTCTTTCAAATTTTGTCTTCTAACTCTAATCAATTAAGCCTAAAACTTAAATGTTTAGTTTAGTAAAATTACATTTCTGTTGCCATTCAACTATCTGTTCTATTATATTCATATATTTAACTTGTAGAATTAATAAATATATTATTAATACTTTCTAATCTTTGTGAATGATGTTTCTAATAGTATATTGATTTTTAATGATAAGTCAGTCAGTCAGTTACAACGTAAGACCAGGAACATATACATATGTGCATCAGTCGAAGTGGCCATACCTCATTGACACAACAAGATGAACATCAAATCCATAGAAGTAGTTAATTTAGTGGTGTTAATATATAAAAGAAAGATTACATATAAGGATATAGTACACGAAGAAAGAATTAGTTGATAGAAAGATATGAAACGATTCTAATTTCATAGTTTGAAGGAAAACAAAGAGTGTATACACCGATGCCATTGTGATGGATTCTGAGCCATGTCACTCAGAGTATCCAACCATTGTTTATGATGGTCTGCATCTACCAACATGGTTCAGACTAGAAGTAAGTGACTTCAAGCACTGATGCCACCTTTTGGTTTGATCACACCTAACTTTTTCCCAACTGTCTCCAACACTAGTCAGCATTGCGTATCGTGGTAATCGGTGTTCAGGCATACGCAACACGTGGCCCAACCGTCTCAGTCGATGTAGATTCACAACCTCATCAACTGATTTACCATCACCCATAGAATAAATCAACATATATTACTCTGTTATCTTTATTTTACTTCTTTTAACCAACAAAAAAGGGAAAATAATTGTACGTTCAATGATTACTTAAGATAATTTTATAGAATTTATACGATAATTAAGTGTTCGGTATTTGATAGCGCTTAGAGCGAACGGCCCTGCGTTTGAGTCTCGGAGTGAATATCAGCTTTGCGATGCAGGTATATCCAGTTGACAAATCCCGAATAGGATGAAATGCATGTACTGGATTCCATTACTAGACATCATTTATCTTTGCTTATAATGTTCACATGTACACATAAATGCTTACTGTGTGTATCAAACAATTATAAAATCTCTTAACTTTAATCTCAGTGTTAGTCAATAAGAATAGTACATTTGATTTGATGTGCGATATTGCTACAAGATTTGTAGAATGTCTTAGTTTTATTGAATTCTTTAATAGAAGGCTTTCAATAGTATTTTGTACCACATTTTCATATTCATATCTCAGTAACATTAACAACGAAAGTTTTCTGATAGAAAAATTGATTACTTAGTGATGTCATCATAGACTTTACTGGAAGAAGAATATACACAATCATTTACTTCATATATATTTTGATCATAAAAATTTGATCCTATCCAGAGTTGTCATAGTGCGCACATGTAATTAATTGTATAGGGAATTTGTACATTGAAAACTAAAAGAACATTTATGTTATTTCCCTAAGAACAATATGGTTTTTAAAAAGGTCAAATAAACTAGATTAGAATACAAAAAACAACAATAACAATTTTACTTCCAGCTGTTTATTCTTTAAAAGAACATTATTTATTAAAAAGTAGTAATAGAATAGCCTTAATCTGGTTGTTAAGCAACACAAGTGCAGAATAAAAGTTTTTTGTTAAAGTTACCACTTGATATTTCATAATGATAATAAAAGACTTAAAATAAGAATAAGGAGAAAAACAAAGAAAAGACTGATCTTTTCATTCTATTTTTTTGATTAAGATTATAAATCGATTGATGTCAGACCACCGTTGGAAACCTGGAAGTACTGGACAGGAGTCTCGTCCTATTTTAGGACTACTCAGCAGTGTGCATGCACAATCCCGCTCGCGGAATTCGAACCTATAGCCTCCAGTTTTGCACGCGAACGCTTAACCTACTGAACTACTCAGTCCGCATCCAGTGGTGTTAGTGTCTAACATCAACCAATTCACGAAATTGCATGATCTAAAATAGGACGAAACGGCTATCCAGTGCCTCCAGGTTTCCAACGCTGATCTAACATCAATCGGTTCATGATCTCAATCAACTTAATAATCTCCACAACTCCTATATTGATGCTGATAATATTAACTAATTTCTACATTAATTTCTATGTTCAAAAAAGAAATAGACAAACAATGATAAGAATTAAAATGATTATGACTGATTGCTTCAATTATGATTTTTATAATAAAAGAAATGAAGAAAAAAAAACGAACTTAGAGTGGTAATGAATAAAATATTTTGTATGATGTATCCGACGCAGATCCATTTTAATACATAATAATAGTTGCTATGGCTACAATACCTGAATGATCAAGTTTTAATGTTTTATAGATCATAAAAGCATGTATTATTGATGAACAATTTAATTTGTTTATCCTTTGTTTGTTTGTTTTGCTTTCGAAAGCGAAAATCACCTATTTAGTTTTTATAGCTTGATTGAATCAAAAGAGAAGAGAATGTTTTATGTGGTTCAATGGTGGTATTTTTTTTAAATATAAATTAACTGTGTTTTTTTTAACTAGTTAATTTTGATAAGTTTGATTAATATTGTTCTGTAAGGTCTTCATGAAATATCTCATAAGATGGTGGCTGGAGCTAGTCAACAGGATACGATGGATCCGGGTTTCGTGCTATTTGGCAGTCATCATGAAGATATATCTGTAATATTGAGAGAACTGATTCTCCCTGACGGATTCAATCCCGTGTCACCCAGCTTCACAATCAGAGACGTTACCACTGGGCAATCCAGGCCTTGAATGATCGCCTGTAGGACTGAGATGTATTTATAATTGATTGATCACTCGGTGGTGATTATAGGTACACCTTGCTGATGAGTACCAAATAGCACGAAACCCGGGGCCAGGGTATCCTGTTGAATACTTCCAACCACCATCTTATCTCAACATAGTGTATGCAATGTCAAGTCACCTAGACTAGTGACCACATTGTAACTTGATCGATAGTATTCTTTCTGTACTAAGAAGGACGTGACACACATGACATTGATCAACACTTAGTGATCAATCAATTGTAAGCATATCTCGTAAAATAATGATTTCTTTAAATGAAAAATACATAAATATAGCTTTAATGTTATTACAGTAATTTAATCTTTAATGAGACGAGAATGGATTGAAAGAATCAGAAGTATTTAAGTTATAACAATGTAATCCTATTTAGCGTCTGTTAAATTGATCTTTACATTGTAGAAGGTATTTTAGTGGAGCCATACATTTAGACTTCAATTAGATCGGACAATATTGTCGATAGGCTCACCACTTTTGTGGCCCTACATCCGACTCCAATTGGATTGTACGCTGATTGTCACCGAAATACACATGTCAGCTATCCTCGTAAATAATTATCAACTTACTTCGCGTTAGTGTATAATGGGATTAAAATAAGGCGAGTACGAGAACAGATTTCTGAATACATATATATTGTACACTCATTGGTCTGAGCAGGCAATTAGAGGGATGAAGCAAAGAGAAGAGACGGAAACGAGACGGCACGCAGTGTAGAAGGTGTGTGAACAAACTCCCATTTTATCAAGCCTTAATCGATATTTATAGTCACACAAAAATAAGATACAAACATTTGACGAGTAGGAAAGATGTACACACACATACGCTCATATAAAAACAGTCGACTTTGATAAATGAATAGTTAGCATGGTCAAAATGGGACTCAAGAAGAACGGATAAACTGGTTTGTCCAGAAGCTGGAATAAATCATATGGGCTTAACACAGCAACCGGCACTACAGTATGATATAGATCATGAATCCAAATACTATCAAACATATCTAAAAATTATCCAGTCATTTCTAATTTCACAGAAGTTTTTGTTTTATTCAATGAAATTAACGTTGCGTTTTGTTCTTATATTGTTATTTGCTTGTAATTTATGATAAACGTATTCTCTACATAAAGACTAACTTTTGACATTTATATTGGAATAGTTGAAATCATGATTCAATTGCAGCTGGAACATCATGGAAAACCTGGAAGTATTGGACGGGTGTTTCGTCTTAGTATGGGACTCCTCAGGAGTGTGCATCCACGATCTATCTAATTATAGAATCTAAACATATTTTTGAATATAGAGTGAAATAACTTAGTCAGTCCATTATCATCCTTACTTTTTTCCAACGACATAGAAAAATGTTATACATGGTTAGCAATTTACAGAAAAATTTTATCGATGAATTATTCAAAAATTTTACTAGATCCAATTCATTGAATGTTTCTTCGTTATATTAAAATTAATTTGTAAAATAATTTCCCATTTACAATTAAAGTAATTGAAATAAAAAAACGGCGATACTCTAATTTATGGAAGAGTCAATCAGAGGCGTTTTAGAGATTTTAAAAACACGGCACCAACTTCAGTACTTAATGCTAACGTACGATCAATTCACAGGGAATTTTGTACGACACGTGATAATTGAGAGGCTATAACAAAAAAACGGTGAGACTATAATTTGTGGACGAATCAGGTATAAGATAATAGATCTCGGATTTTAACGCGAAAGACTTTACTCCATTTGGCTAAATAGATTTCTGGGATTATAGTTGACGTCAGTTCGTGATGAAAACCCTATATATAATTCCTAACTAAGGCAAATTATGACAATTATTGCGAACTGGATAATAAAAGCACTAGTAACACTGGCTGCAGTCAGGTACTACAATATATACGGATGATTGTAGAGCGAACGGAGTTGTGCATAGGTTTAGTTGTGTGCATCGTGTGGTTATCCACAAAAGAGACTATGTGTACTCAACAACCGGAGCGCGCACAAACAGTATTGAAGTTATGTGGTCGAGTCTGAAAGGTTTTTTAAGACTTTTTCATGACTCCAGAGGTCGACTATTCTGTAGCCATATGGATGATTTCCTCTACCATATGCATGACGAATTTAGAACCTCTGAACTTCTTTCTAACGTTGACGGGTTTTTGAACTACGTATAAGAAGTGTATCCACTTTATTTCCTTGGTTTTGTATAACATATTTTTACTCTATACTTTCTGTTTACTGATTGGCTAATATTTCTGAAGGTCACTAAGGATTCGTTTGGAGGTCGTCCATAAGTTAGAGTCTCGCCAAAAAGACAATGAATAATTAAGTTAATTAACTTACCAGTAAACCAGTTTCATCTGAACCATGATATACTACGCCTAAATCACGACATGTTTCCACAAATGCTTTTTCATCAGGAGATGAAGCCTAGAAAATAAGATGCATTTTTTTAAAAGATAGAATACTTTTAGTTCTATAACATAAATAATAACGAAAAAGCTTAATAGCTAAAAACGTTTTCAAAAAAAAACTTTTTTGGAGAGAATAACAAACATTTTAAGTAGAACTGATTGGTGGATGATGGTAAAATTTAGGAAGTAATTTTCTTTCTCTTTGTAAGTGATTGATTAGATCTCAGAATTGATGATCAGTTCCGGAATGGACACCTAGCATCGTTTACTTTAAATGCTGAAGCATTATAGGCTTAACCCCTAAGTCCGAGTAGCCACTGATTTGTACAAAAGGATGGATTTTAATTACATTGTATTGATTGTTTGAATTTTCCTACTGGTGTTTAAGACTGAAATCAATCAGATTTTTTAGGTGTGTTCATCCTGATAAAATAAAATGCGCGTCCGGGACTTTATTACTAGCCACCCCATCCAACTCCACTTATTGTGCTCGTAACTTAATGACAATGTGTGAGGCAATCTGCATAGGATGTGCATATGTCAAAAGAGGCTGATCTGCTTCTTTTGAAGCAGAAAAAATACAAATTATCTTTTATAATCAAAGTTTAATTATATAATTAGAGGTACAGTTTATTAGTTTACCTAAATCATTTTATTATTATTTTATTACAATTGTATACAACTATACAGGTAAAACTAAAGTGAACTGGTTTCCATAAGACTTACTGGTGAATATCTCAATTACACAGTTCCTTATATTTAGCATCACTGTGTATTCTAAAGCTCAATAAAGTTATGATGTTAAGTAGTCGTAGGCAATTAAGAGGTAGCCCGTGACCTAGATTTTTCCCATTTTTTACTCATCAGTTTGGGAAATCAGTATTTTTCAGGGAACCAATGATTTCTGTTGGATTTGAACCCATATTATTCACTTGCACAATCAAAGACGTTATTATTATGATGTAATTTATGTTGTCTGAAAATTCTTGAAGAAATTTGTGATTCAAAATGATCGTAAATATACTTTACCACAAAGTAGCAACTAACACAAAATCTAGGTATCGAGCATTATGTCACCTAGCTTCGGATCAAATCCACCAAATGTAAAATGACGATCACATAGCAACTTGGTCAATAAAATTTGAGCGTCATAAGAAAAACATAATAAACGTAACAGTGTTGACAATTAATTGATCTAAACAAGATCTATACATCAGTAAAATTGTTGATTCAGATGTTATAACAATTCGTTCATGGTTACTAATATATTTTATTTACATTTGACCATAGTATTGATTCCGGTCTGAATAATCATTGTATAACATTAGATAATTTGAATCAGATATAAGTACGGAATGTATATACTTTTGATGTTCAGAGCTGTCTTAAATCTACGGTTGTTTTCTTCTTCTGTTTGTTCCATTCAATCATTGCAGAATAAGAATTTTTTGTTTAAATATTAAGCTAAGAACGTGATCAAGTCAACTGAAAAGAATATCCTTAATGGCACTAATGCATATTATTAGGGAAATGTTTCTTCTTATATCTAAATTATTGAACGTTTCTTATTGAATTAGGCATAAAACATAGTTACTTGCAATAGATCTAACATTTCCAATCTGATCTAAGTGTAAACATTTATTATGTAGTTCCATAATTTGTTTTATTATAGTTATTGGCAACTAAAACATTATTTATTCTACTCAACATTACTACACTTTTTAACACATTTGTGACTAGCGTCAAGATGAATTTCCTGGAATTTTAGTGAGAAGTTGTGATCAGTGAAATCAAATCCATGTCGGGTGGAGACAGTTATTCAATTCAGATAATGGATGAAGGGTTGAGCAAAATCATGGATCGATTGACATTAGACACTGACACCATTGAATGCTGGCTCAATGATCCAAAGGTTCACGAGCGAAGATCGAATATCCTTGTTTCGAATCCCACGTGTGGGATCGTGAATACACATTGCTGAGGAGTCCCATACTAGGAGAAAACGGTGTCTAGTGCTTTGAGGTTTTCAATGGTGGTCTAGCTTAGACTGACTGATGAAGTAAACTATTAAATTTACTACAATCTCCAAAAAACCCTATTCTGATTATAATGAATCCCTTTTAATTTTGTTTAAATTTATCTTGTTGTATGTAATGTAATAGTTTCTTCAATAAAAAGACACCTATACGCACAACAATTTTTAAAACTAAACAGAAAATAACGGATGTTTTACTCATTGAAATAAAAGTGTGAATATTTCCTTATAATGTTGATTATTTGTACTGAATTATAATAATAACAAGATATTCGTTAAGTTACCGTCATGATGCTGTATTTTGTATTAACACTCGATTTAATTTGATGATTATATGCGAGGATTAGAGACATGTATATTTCGATAACAATCAATTATATGATCTAATGGGAGTCTGATACAGGGCCACAAAAGAATAACGGAACTAAATACGAAGATTTGCGATATGTATATTTCAATAACAATCATCCACACAGCCAGAAGTCAGTCAAATTATGGGCCATTAAAACACTTATAATCTTGTCTTGTGAATAGTTCACTGACAAATTATTTACATTTGTATGGTACAATAACTTACTGATAAGTAAATAACAGACCGGATTTGTGATGTGATGGATACATGATACAATATTGTCTGCATAAGCACAGTCATTTATAAATAAACGACGAAATGTCACAAATTATCAAAATACATTTCAAAATTTTGATGGGGTTTTACTAGAAGTTTGTGCTGATGATGTCGTTCAGAAGAACAATGAAAGCTCCACGACCAAACCATCTAGCTCAAAGAACAAAACTCCATCAAAATTATCCACCTAAGCTACAAATCTTCTCTACCATCACATTTCAAAATATAGAATAAATTGATTGTATAGAAAAATGATACCCTAATATAAAATATGGATACAGGAATTGAAGAGGGAGGTTGATTATGAATACAGTGGTATATATGCATCCTGTATGAATTGTCTCGATATTGCCTTAAAGCACAAGCATTAAGAGTAAAAATGGATGATGGTTAGGATTTCACAGTATGCCTGTAAACAGACTACATTATTTGAAAGTGTTTAGTAAGATTACTCGAATTGTGATAAACAAAATTTCTGTCACCAGTAATAAAAACAGAATTAATTGATAATTTTTCAATAAACCATTAAAAACGTTATCGATCATTCAACTTATTTCTTTGTACAGAAATTATAGTAAACAAATTATGTCCTGAAAATAGTAGTAGTAGTAGTAGGAGGAGGAGGAGGAGGAGTAGGAGTAGGAGTAGGAGTAGGAGCAAGGATAATAGTCAACCTAGTTTTTTGTCATAAATTTAACGGATAAGAAATCATTTTATTTTTAAATAAAACTAGAATTATCAGAATGGGTTTTAAGGAGATTTATAAACTCCACTGGTTGAAATCATGAGTCAATCGAAGTTTGATCACCATGGAAAACCTGGAAGCACTGGACAGTTGTCCGTTTCTTCCTAGAATGGAATTCCTCAGCAGTGCGCATCCGCGATCTCCCCCTGCGAGATTCAAACCTTGTCAGTCTTATGTGCGAGCGCTTAACCACTATACCACTCAGCCGGTATCCAACGGTGTTAATATCTAACTTCAACTTCAATTTGAATTGACTCATGACTTCAACTATTGAAATTACTGAAATCTCCACAAAACCCTATCTGATATTAAAACACAACTTTCTCAATTGTATCAAATAATCTGTTTGTAAAATATGAATGGAAGCACATTATCAATAAATTTGACTAAAATTAGTAGAAAATTTGAAAGAGCTATATTAGGTGATCATAGAAATAGGTCACATTTTTAATTAGATTAAGTACTGTAAGATCATATACAAGAAGAAAACCAGGACTGTCAAATCCCAAATTGGTTCAATAAACATGACCATGTCAGTTCAATCGGCTTCCGGTATTCTAGAAAGAAATCTTGACTGATGAAATTCAAGCGTGTTAAGAATGCGATAGTAATCACTGAAAGTAATATATTATTATTTTGCTAAATCCAGAATGTGTAAAAATTATTATTGTGAACCGTTTGATTCTCACTTAGAGGTCTAAGGATTTCATATTTATCCTATTATGACCTAGGTTGGATGGAGAATGCTGGTGAGCGGCCTATGCTCCTTCACGAGGAGTAACAGGCGTAAGTAAGTAAGTAAGCTATTATGACCTAAAGTCTACTGTATCAACCTCTAATGTAGTTATATGTGATCAAAATCAAGATGAAATAGGGTTTTTTTCTTACAAAATACACAGATAAAGGGTAATTTTATACTGATTAGTAACTAGGTCAGAGGTTAACGTCACCATGTTTCACTTTCAAGCTCTAACTTCAATATTTGATCCATCATGATATTAAAGTGTGCAATTCATTTAAATTCTCGAATTCATAATACTGATTATATATTGTACATTGAATAATTGTATAAAATTTATTAGAGATCGTTTATATTTATTTATATTTTACCGACATATTTAATTATCATTTAATGTTTTTTGAATGCTATAATCAATTTCTGTCTACAATTTAAATGAATAACTGTTATAAATTGTGACCGCCGATTAGAGGACAGCGAATTACCGATAAGATCAAGGACATACAAAACACATGCGAGCAGCCAAGAGTCCTGATTGGTCTCGCTTCCTGTCTAGCCCAGCTAGTTAAGTCCAGAACACAAGTCTCATCCTCTGCTATATGAATCCTTATATTTCAAACATACTCGTCTATTGTCTGTTAATTATTATCTCCCTCATTCACAGCCACATTTGGCTGAATCTTGTACAAATGTTATTTTCCACTTTATGGTACGATATAATCTGTTTGGATTGTATATAAACCCAATATGTTTAAAATACATGATTCATGAGATGATGGAGATTTGTAGCTCAGGTGGATGATTTTGGTGGAGTTTTGTTCTCTGAGCTGGATGGTTTAGTTATAGAACTTTCATCGTTCTTCTTAGTG